CTTGAATTATGAATATTTTCTGAGATCTATTCATTATCTCCAAAGAAAATAAATATAATGATAATGAAGTTAATCAGACCTAAGTGATGTTAAAGGGAATGGCCCAATCTACATACTTTTTACTAAAAATGTTGACCTAATTTTTACCAAAATGCAACCTCTAATTATATTGTTGAATGCATAATTAGAATATGCTTTGAGACATGCTCTATTTCCTAAGAGGAAAAGTGGATTGCTCCAGGGACTTTAAAGTTTCTGAATTTGGATGACCAAAATGAACAGAAACCAATGGATAGCATGAATTTTTTCAGTGGGGAAATAACAAGGGGAACACTAATCTTAGGGGAATTCAGTTTTCCTTTCAAGAGCTATTTGATACATTAAAATAAAGAATAGTAATGGATTAAACATTGTAAAAAATGATTGCATTTTTTGGTGAAAATGAGGTCAACAACTTTGAAAAAATATATTGATGGGCTACTAGCTACTCTCCGAGTCCGATTTACTTTATTATCCCTGTATACCTTTCTTCATGGTCAGAAAATAGTCATAATCAAAGATATAACTGTCTGAAATTGTTTGTGATAACTTACCCGAACCTTTCCAGGGTCAAATCAGGAGTGACAAAATAATTCCACCAGATTTTTAACATGTCTTCAAATACGATAGTATTTTCTGCATAAGATAGAGTGTCACTTGTGAAATTTATTGATTGACCTGAGATCGTACCATATCTTTATGCCATAGAAGCGAAATAGCCATATTGAACTTTAATGAATGTTGTTTGCCATTCTGATACTCATAGCATCTTTCTGTTTTACCTTTCTCAGGGCTGAGAAGAAATGAGATGTCATGGTTTATCATGATGGTTGTTTGCCACTTTTCGACAATTGCCTATCCTTAAATAAGCACTGATTCACCCGAGAGCATACGTAGCTTTTCCAAAACATTTTTGGACCACTCACATTAATGTTTTGTCTAATTTTCCCTCAGAGTTTCCTCATCATTGTCCAACTCTTAGGCCATATTTGTTGAGATATATAAATGTTCATTATTAAAATCTTGCCTTCCTTTGCAGTTGTCCCAGAGCATGATAAATAAAAAAAAATAACAACAAAATGACATAGAACTGATAAACGTTTTGTCTTGTGTGTGTAAGCCATGGTCTACTAAATTGCTATTCAGTAGGAAGAAACTCATTTTCAGTTTCCATTTTAATTTCCTGACAAATAGAGCGATCATCCCAGGATTTTTTCTATGGTCTATGTGTCGCCATATCAACTTCTGTTCTAGAAACATTGCATGAACAATAGAAATGATTATTTTACCATAATTTTAATCATCCCACATTGTAGACATATTTAGAATAAAAAATATGAAGAGAATGACAAAACCTCTTAAAACACATTTCTTAGGAAACAAATAGTGTGGTATTCTTGTTACTATGGCAACAGAGTTTTTTCTTTTAGTCATTTTTGTCATACAGATTACCTATCATACCAGGACAAAATCCTGAAAATTTGAAGTTAGTATCTTCATTAGTATCTAAGATATATAAGTTTCTTATAGTATCCCCTGCAGATTTTATCAGAGTGTAAGGAAAATGCTCTGAAGAAGGTTGCCCAAGGATGCTACTTAACAGTTCTGGTATTTTTTAGGTCCCAACCCTCTATTCATGGGAATAGTTAACGATTGTAAAGCCACTCATGGTAAACTGACAAAATTGATTATATCTTCAACTAAGAAGTCAATAAAATGTTAAAACCAGAAGAAAACCACACCAACTTTCTTCTATTTACAAGGGGTAGGGCACTATAAAGTCATATTAAAATTACAAAATAGTACTTCATCACTATAATATATGTATAACAATATCACACATAGCTTGGGAATGTTGTTTGAATACTACTTTGAGCTGTTAAAGTTATCATGTTTTGCGTGAAGCTACAAATATAAAATAAGCAAGAAAAAAATGACAAAAATTGCATATTTTTCCTAATTAATTGTATTTTTCCGAAACCAACAAAGATATCAACCTACAACTTTAGCATAGTATTCATCTCTGTACTAACAATATATGCTGTAGAACTCAGAACAATAGTTCATATATCCTTTGAGTTATGAACTAATATTATAGTACCCCTTAAAATAATTTCCTAGGGGGGTAAAAACGCTAGAAATCAGTGTCATGGCCATCTCGTTGAGCTGTCATCTTTTAATATCTTTATCAGCATGAAAAACTGATCCAGAAAAAATAGGTCTGTTGCTTTTTCTAAAAAATGCCTCAAAAACCATTTCCCTTGAGATATTCTGAAATTGGAACCTGTCTAAGATGACAGAACTGGTATCCCAATTAATAAAAACCTGGACATAGCCAATTCTTTTATGAAATATTTTTCTGGTAAAAATCACATGGAGATCAACAACAACGACACACTACCAAACTTTCCATCGAGAACAAATTCCTTCATTATATCTGCAATTACCAACCAACATGAGATAATGAAACTTATACTTAACCTAGATACTTCAAAAACATGCGGTCCTGATAACATAACGAATAAAATGTTAAACTTAACAGCCCATACACTTTCAAAACCACTCTCTAAATTATTCAATAAGCTTTTGACAAAAAATATTTTCCCGGAAACATGGAAAATTGGTAGTGTCTGTCCAATTTTTAAAAAAGATGATAAGACAAATATAAAAAATTATAGACCAATTATGCTCCTAAATACCCTATCAAAGCTCTTTGAAAAAGTTCTTGCAGATCGAATTAAAAAACATCTTATACAAAATGATTTACTTTTTAAACATCAATCTGGTTTCCTGCCTGGCCACAGTACACACTCTCAACTTTTAGCTATTGAGCACTACCTGCAATGCACTTTCGAGGAAGGCAAAGCCTCTAAATCAATATTCCTTGATATTTCGGCCGCTTTTGATTGCGTACCACATAATCTTCTATTGCTTAAACTTAAATCTTACGGTATCCAAGGCCAACTGCTCAATGTACTCAAATCCTATCTGAATGACAGAAAATTCTTTGTTAATGTAGGTGGCGAATCTTCAAAACTTTCTGATACTAATTTTATTAACTGTGGCGTCCCACAGGGGTCTATTCTAGGGCCTATTCTATTTATCTTGTACATTAATGATATTCCTGACAACCTGGGTGGCCAGTGCTACATCTATGCTGATGATACCTCTTTACATTTTAAACTTGATCCAAAAGACCCCACTAATGTTGATGATTCTGTTAAGTCAAGCCTAGAAAGCATTGAACAATGGTCAACTACTTGGAAACTACAGTTTAAACCAGAAAAAAGTCATGAACTGATATTTCATAAACCTAGAACACATATTAATGATATCAGTCCATCTAATCTTAATAATATGGAAATAGTTAGAGGTGATTCCCATAAACACCTCGGTTTCACGTTTGATCCCTGCTTAACACACAAGCACCATATAAGTAACATCTATGATAACGTAACAAAAATGTTGAATCCATTTAAAAAACTCAAAAACAAAATAGGATCTAGTCATTTGGAGACAATCTTCAACTCCTTCATATTGCCCCATTTTGATTATGGTACCATCATTTACAATAGTTCTTCCAAATATCTACTTCAAAGGCTCGACAGATTATATTATAAAGCTGCTATCTACTGCTCAGGTTGTATTCACGGGAGCAGCACAGATAAAGTACTAACGCTACTTCAATGGCCATCTCTTGACACTAGAAGAAAAATGTTTATAAACAACTTTATGTACAAAATAGTACATGGTCCTAACCCTAAATTTCTTGATGACATATTTGATAAGTTCAAAAAACCAGAAACTCGAAACTTGCGTAACACTGATGAGTTCATTATACCAAAATGCTCTGAACGGTACAGAAATTCAGTGGTACCCTCTGCAATATCCAACTGGTTAGCCCTGCCAAATACATTAAAGAGTAAAGCTACTATCCAGAATTTCAAGAAACATCAAAAACTGCTTTTCAAAAATCCAATAAATGTCATCACAACCAGCAAACTGAACCTCACAAGGAGCCATGAGATAATAGTAAATAAATTCAGGGCCGACTTTTTATTTAAGGCCCAACTATATGCTCATAACTTTAGCAATATTGACAACCCTAACTGTTCATGTGGACATCCACAAACAGTTAAACACTTCTTTTTCCACTGTGCTCATTTGACACATGCCAGGGATGAATTTAATCAATACCTGAAAAACCTGATCCCTGAAATTTTTGACAGGCAAATCTCTCAGCATAAATATCTTGAAGTTCTGAAATATGGCTCAACTGAAATCACTATCGAACTTAATTCGAAAATGATGACCAGGCTAGCTTCCTTTATAAAAGCCAATATATGATTTTCCCTCCTTAAACATCTTTTATCTCCAGTAACTGTTTCCCACGCCAAGCACCCCCCCCCCCACACACACAACCCCAAAACTACTGTTAACATTGCTCCTTATATTATATTTCATTAAGATCCATCAATTCTTCTATAATGCCATGCATGTATTTGGCGATTGAAGATTTTGTAAATGTTATGTAATGAATGAGGATAATTAATAAATAAATAAAAAAAAAAAAAAAAAAAATTTATGTTTATAATTGTAATTTCTAATAAAGCTATCTGTTATAGTGAATTCATTCAATTTTGCCTGTTGTCATAAATTGTAATGAAACTCCTCATACCAGATATGTTCATGGGAATGAGTATTGCAAGTGAAAAACCTTTAGGGGATGGAGCAGTATATATAAACGGATTTATTAAAATAATGTTTAATCCACCTGAAAAAACATACTAAGATTAAATATCTTGCGTAGATCCTCTAAAGTTATAGATATCTTGTTAATAATTGTGAAAAATTGATCTCATTTTCACTGCACATGTACCTGGTTCCATTTCAGCATAATTGGAGAATACGATAATGCCAAAACATGTTAATTGTACATGTATTTTTCGATCTTCTTTCAGTCTGGATACTTTGCCAGCATGTTCAGTGGCTCATGGATGGAGTCAACGCTTGATAGAATCACAATGGACATACCTGATGAAAACATTGATGTACACGGTAGGTCTCATGTTTGTTTGAACACAACATAAGCAAACAGAAACTTGAAGTAGATAAGTTGCAATCTTTATGAGTAAAGAATCTATAGAAAATAAAACTTCTACATGTATAATGGTTTTGACCATTAGGACACAAAGTGGTTGGATCTAACTTTTAACCCAACCCAACTATTCTGGAAAATATTGCTTCCTGGAAATCATCCTTTAATTCATGTTGCTTATCATGTGACAAGAATAACTATGTGAACAGTACATGTAGACTTCATGCTTTCGGGTCTGAAGCATACATGCTATATGTATATGTTTTCAGCTTTGGAGGTAGCCTTTGGCTCACTATACAGAGATGATGTGAGTCTAGTTCCAGCACGTGTTACTAGTGTATTAGCAGCTGCTAGTCTATTACAACTGGATGATTTGGTTCATCAATGTGGGAACATCATGGAGGAAACTATCAGGTAGACTAGTCTTAAAATGTTCCTCGTGTGTGCCAACAAAGTTAATCAATTACTGTGTCATTTTCAGGTATTCAGGATTTCAAGTGGGTGCAATAGATGAGATGCGAGTAGAAATAGTCTTGAGTTACATCTTTAATTAAATATTAAAAATTCAATCAAAGTGATGTCTTATTTGAAATCTACACATAAAAGTTCAATCTAGAAATGTAGTTTCAAAAATTGTTTTTCAGCTTTGGAAATTGATTTTTTTAAAATATGACTATTCAGGGAGATTCCCCGTAGACCCCATGTTATAAAATCACAAAAAGTGAAATATCTTCTTTTATAGGACTGATCATATTTTTTATTTTACGGGACATGTTTCCATTTGTGTAACTATCAGATACATTGGGGTTATATGGAAATTGATCCACGTTAACTGATGAATATTCAAGTTTAAGGGAATTTTTTAGATACCTGCCATGTTATCTGACCCGAATTAACAACCTGGTGAAACTGGGAACTACCCACTCCCCACTCACATCTGGGCTATTGTATTTTCAAAAGTTCTACTCTGTTACTTCACTGGTGGGAATTCCCTGAATTAATGTTCCAATAGCTGGGATGGATTTGTAGGGTTTACCTCAGCTGGCATATAGAAAATCTTGAACAATCATCGAAAAGATTGTACATTGATAGTCTTGCATAATATATATATCATAAAGATTGGGGATAGTGACTTAAATACTATATGAAACATGTTCTAAAGTGCTATCTCAGGCCTGGGTCTTACAAGCATTGAAGTACAAGCAATAATGTTGGTTGCATTATTTAAAAACTTCACTATACATGTTTGAATAAATCATTTAGAAGCAATTCATACCCGTGCCGAGGATCTGATTGTAGATCATTACGATCAATGTTAATACTGAATGATTGATTTTTTCTTTCTCTCAGTGCCAAGACAGTGAATGCTTACTACACGGCTTCTGTTACATATGGACAGCATAATGCTGCCAAGAAATGCAAGATATGGCTTGAGCGCAATCTTTTAAATAGCCCCAGTATTACACTGCTTAGGAAAATAAGGTAAGAGTTCTATGAATCGTTGTGCTTCCTCTGGTGTGTTTGAGCGTTAACATCAGCTACCTCTAGTCAGATCGACTAACAAAACAACCTTTTTTGGGGTTGTCGAGTTGGCCGAGAGGGCTTGAGCACCAGCACGTTCAGACTAGGCGATTGGGCGCCGTAACCACGAGGCTGCGAGTTCGAGATGTGTGTGCTCATTGTGTTTATTTATTTCTGTCCTCTACATGCAGCACCCATAATTTAGGAAGTGGGAAGTCTGAATTATGGAGGCCAAGTTGTTCGCTCAATGCTCATGATATCAGTAGACTGTGAATATACGATGAAGTACACAACAAATCAACACTTCTCAAATTTTGTCATAGGAAGAGGGAGTTAAACTATAACCTTTCCATGACTTGATAATAAGGCACCATCCCTAAGCCTACATGTTTTAGATTCCTTACTAAATAAGTTTAGTCAGGGCAGTAGGGAAAACCTTAGTAGAACCTCAAGATGAGAATGTTTATGTAATTTTCATGATTGTGAATCCCAATTATTGATGAAAAAGCTGATAATACTTTGAATGGAGTTAAAATAATAAAAATTTTCTTGTGAAAAGTTAAACTTTCTTATAACATCTAATTCATCTGATAAAATCAATATTTTCTTTGACAGCTGCTGACTGTATTTCTTAAATAAATATTTCCTTCCAAAATAATGAATAAAGTGCTTAATTGAAATATTCCAGCCCAGAGTTGATGACGGCCACTGTGGGATCCCCCAATCTGTTTGTTATGCAAGTAGAAATGGATGTCTACTCAATACTAAAAAAGGTACAATGATATAATAATTAATTTATATCTGTGTTTTTCAATGCAAGTAGAAGATTATTCTATGTTTTGGTGATGTAGAAGATTGTTCTATGTTTCAATGCAAGTAGAAGATTGTTCTTTGTTTCAAATGCAAGTAGAAGATTGTTCTATGTTTCAATGCAAGTAGAAGATTGTTCTATGTTTCAGTGAAGTAGAAGATTGTTCTTTGTTTCAAATGCAAGTAGAAGATTGTTCTATGTTTCAATGCAAGTAGAAGATTGTTCTATGTTTCAGTGAAGTAGAAGATTGTTCTTTGTTTCAAATGCAAGTAGAAGATTGGTCCATGTTTCAGTGTTCATAGTTCTATGTTTCAGAGCAAATGAAAGATTGCTCTATGTTTCAATGCCAGTAGTAGATAGTTCTATGTTTCAGAGTAAATAAAATATTGGTCCATATTTCAATGCCAGTAGTAGATAGTTCTATGTTTCAATGCAATGAGGTTGCTCCATGTTTAAATGCATGTATGGATTTTCTGTTTTAGTGGATGTTCCTACATGTTGTACCCTCATACAAAGGCAGTTCTAAACCTATGCATGAAGTTATTAACAAGTACTTCAAAGAAGAAGGTATGACGTTTTATGTTTCAATGCATTACATACTAAACTAGGGATTAACATGACAATATCTCACCACCTTGTTTACTATTGCAAATGGTAACAGTTTGTTACAGATACTAGGGAGTTTAAGCTTGCAAGGTTTTTCATAACCTCACCATGAACGGAAAATATTTAAGCGATGCATTTGTACGGGCGATTAGTCATACGTATAGGTTGGCGTTTCGATTTTATATGCAAGCTTAAACTCCCTATTGACTGCAAGTGTTTAAAAGTACTTATTAGAAGTTGTAAGAATTTGTTACAGACACCGAGCACCAATAGGTGATCACTTTATCTTAATCGTTATACAACTGCAAAACTGTATGTGGAATAAAAAGATTATGGCTCTTTTGAGAAGATGCATTTTTGGCCCACCCTGCCCATCAAGGACATCCATATAGTAGAGATCAAAAGCTCTGCTTTATGATATTTCTTCAAATTAATTTTTTACATTTATTTAGTTTTTTTATTCTTTCAGTGATGCTGAGTGAATATGAGAGTTTCCTAGAAACAGAGCAGGGGAAGAGCTTTTGTAGCACCTTCAAACAGATCAGATTTCAGCATATTATTTCTGACCTCGACTCAGCTCAAATCTTGGAGAAGGATAACATTGTGCCAAAAGGTAATTTTCATAAAGTTAAAAATCAATGGTTTATTGCTACACCTCACTGTATCCACCTTTTCCACCTCATTGTATCCACCTTTTCCAACTCATTGTATCCACATTTTCCACCTCATTTTCACCTTCACCTTAAATATTTATTACTGCTTATTTTCAAAGTCATTTTTTATTTACTACCTGCAGCCTTTAGAATTCATCTCTTAAATAAACTTCAGCTAAATGTAGAAGAATATTCTAAAGTAGTAGGGGAGTATCTTTGTATGGGAGTACCTTGAACTGATTTTTATCTATTTGCTGTATTCCAGCTTGGTTGATGTCACTCTATAGAACCCAGTGGAAGCAAATGTTGAGGGTTGAACATGGTAAAGATTTGGGGCCACAGGAGGAAATGATCCCAGAATTCCCAAGCATAGCCATGCGATGTGGAAGGATCTTACAGAAAGATGGGTATTACTGCTGGAGGTGGACTGGCCACAGTTATGGTGTGGATTTACTCATATCCTTCCACAACAAGTAAGTTTGAAACTTACATTCAAATTAGATAATAAAATGAGTGGGCAACTATGCTTTTTTATTTCAAAATCATTTCAACCTGCCTCATTATATATTGTTGCTGCAATAATTTCTTGACAAAATAGGTGTTTGCCTTTTGCCACCTTGGGCTATAGTTGACATTTTTACGATCCTCATAGACTGTTTTTCAGATGAAGGATGTGTAAGTATTGAATGCAGCATTCCAACATATTCCAAGTAATGGAGTAAACATACTCAAAGGAGCATTTTAGTGATATCGTTTCATGGGCATAAAATTTCACTGTTTGAAGAAATATCTAATTGAATTCAATGTTAAATCAAATATTCACTTTGCCTTTAATTTTACGGTCTTGGCTCTTCAGCTTATAATATTATAGTGAAAATTAGGGCATCTTGAAAATTTGGGTTTTTACAGTACTTTTGTTTGGCCATTGTTATTTATAGCGGAATTGTGAATATTACAATTTTCCACTCAGGTGAGTGAAAAATTGCGGAAGAACACTATTGTATGTTATGTTTTTTCCAGATTGATTATCTTCAAACGCAATGTAGAAAGCCAGAATTCCACAGTTTCCGTCAGCCTGTGTAACAAACGCACAATCCTCTACAAGTAATTATATTTCTCTGTTTGGTTCAAAGAATGTATGCAATTGAAATTATATTTCTTTGTAATTCAAATTATATTTCTTTGTAATTGAAATTATATTTCTTTGTTTGGTTCGAAGAATGTATGCAATTGAACATATGAGTGCATTGTACATAAGTAGAAGAATGATGGTTCCAATTTTGTCGAAAAAAAGTTTTACACGAATAGTGTTTTGATGTTTTCGAATTTGTACAGTGAATTCACTAGAAATGAATTCACTTCAAAAGTTCTGTCCATTTAATTGATATTACTTGAAAAATTATTAATTTGTGATATAAAAAGTTCACAACTAGATTATTGTCAAATTTTGGCTAATTTAAATTGATTTGCAGTCCATATTTACAAATTGTTTGTTTCCAGGCTGACCATTGCCTCGCTCGACAAACATGGGCAGGCTAGCTACAAGAAATCTACGAAAGTAACAAAACTATCGTTAGAAAAAGATGAGGTAATGTACAGAAATACTTGTAAACTGATCAGCTGAGACACATTAATTAATTCAGTGCAGTGTATTGAAAATGTGTATATGAGCCTGGCCATAGGAAAACCGGTCTTATCACAAAAATTGAAATCGTTCTACAGAGCCAAAAATGTGCCAAAGATTAAGAGGAAAATGTGCTAAATTCAAGTCTGACTTATTGGTTTATATATGGAAGGAAAAATTGTTAAGACACAAGTCATGGCTCATTTGAAAAATATATTGAAAAAATCTGTGATAAGACCCCTTTTCCTGTTGCCTGGCTCATATACTGTAGATGCTGGTCATTAATCATATCGGTTATTTCCTGGTGATAATACTACCATTATATCGCATTGTTTTTAATTTTTCTAAGCAATTCCTATTGTATTTTTTAGAATAAATAAGCAGTCATATTTTTCACATGTCTCCTTGGATCTAAGTCTTTATTCCTTAATTACGCATCACTGCTATAATTATTTGACTAAAATGTGATTTCAGGAACAAGTGGTAATAGGTGTGGACCGTCATGCAAAGTTCCCTCTACATATCAGTGTGAATATCCTTTCATTTTCCCCCAGCCAATCTTCTATAGACTTATACAAACACAAACACATTCTACCAATTGATAGGTCCCCGATGCTTAAATCAAACAATGACCGATCCCCTTCAACATTGAGACAGAATACAAGCTTGCCATCAAGTTGTGGTGACTCTGAAAATCACGAGGAGAGTGAAGACAGTGTTGGGGATATGGATGTATTTCACTTAGCTCAAAATGAGGAGTTGAAACAACAAAACGAATCGGGAGATCTGGATAGTTCATGAACCTTCACAAGCAACGATCTAAGTCTTTGACAAGTCGTTCAAAATTTGCAGTTCAAAATGTGTTCAAACATGATAAATATTCTTTCTCTACAATTAAGTTGTCATAATACAAATGCTGTGTATTTATTGCATTTGAAAATATAAAGAAACAATTTTTACAACTACACCTGTGTGTTATTTATTTTATCACAGACTAAAACTGTATAATCATATCTAACAGTTTAAATGGATAGATATACCAAGTACCTTATTTGCTTTGAATTATGATATAATTTCTTGGTTATTCTTGGGTACATATGAATGTACAGTGAAGCCAATAGTGATTTTTTGTTAATGATTTTTTTCCATAGAAAAATATAAATAAAACATAGACATGTGTTGCAGCATTGCATAAGCCACAAAATACAAGTGAATACGTTTGCAAATACTGTACGCCCGGTATTATTCGCGAGATTTAATTTCGCGAATTTTGCGTGGCTATTAAATTTCGTGAATTTCACAAGTTTGAAATTCATTACTATTCCAGGAATTCTCGAGCTACTCGTGTGTAAATTAAGTTAGATGTACAGTAATTGCACTTACCTGATGTCATATTTGGATGAGATTTACAATAACTGGGATCTTTATCATCGGCAAGCTGCATATCAACCTCTATTGCATCGTCATTTTTAATATTAAAGCAAAAGTGCGTGGCTCCCATAATAACTTTACCGTACTTCATACTGTATTTTATCGTATTCGGGGATTCCCCAGTATATGATGTCATCAAATTGCAGGCTACGATCACGTGAACAATCGTGCGCACGTGCTCTTTCATTGCTGCGCATAGTAAAGTCATGTAGTTGCACAGTACTATTGAAGTACTATAACTCGATCCAAACTAGTAGAGAAAACTCATAAAGCAACAGCGAACATTGGGATACAGTACTAGTATCCATTTCAATGGCAAATGAGGTCAGTTTAAAAAATTGGTTATCGAACGTGCCAATAGCAAAACGAAATGCATCAGAGCCCCGGGTAAAAACAAATTCCCGGGGATTTAATTGGCAATTTCACGACGATAATTTTTCGCGATTATAACACCCTCGCGAAAAGCGCGAAAGTAAATCGCACGCGAATAATACCGGGCGTACAGTAGTGATATAGGATCACATAATATCCAAATCTTCAGATTAAAGATAAAAAGCAACCGAAAAATCAAAATTGTCAATTTTTTGAAAAAAGTAATAGAACTTGCAAAATTGTGATGATAGGTCAAAACTAGAACAAAAACTACAACCTTGGTTAAACATGAGTAAATGTCTAAAGCTTTTCTTTTTGAAGGTATGTATTTTGGATTAAGCTCTTTATAGACTGTGACCCATTCTGTAGAAGTGCTCTAGAAATGCAACCTTCCTTACATGAAAGGTTACACATTCCAACCTATTTCAAACCATCAGTATGATTATACTGGACACTTTCTGGGTAGTTGGACTTTCTATAGGGGTGGCAGACGGCCCTCAGACCAATTTATACCCCTACCCCCAAAAAACCATGGGGGTACTTTAATACCACCCAATAAAAAGAATACTAATGCATGTCAGATATTCATTGTTTTATATTAGGTAGGGCATGTTATGGTTAATAAGTGCCAGAAGTTTCCAATCTCTAACTTATATGGTTACCATAGAAACAGTATTTATATCTCGAAATATTCTCAATTTGACCCCCTCCCAAATGTGTCCCTTTGTTCTCAAAGTGAAATATTTCAAAATCTGTTTGGATTTTATGGCTGCTACTTTGTCAAAATTTGTAATATTATGTCTATATTAACACCAAAACACTTAAAAGTTAGTATAATGATCCTATAAATCAATAATATTTATCAAATATAGTCACACATAGCTGCTTTCAGGGAAAAGTGGGCGTGGCACTTTTTGGTACTTGTGCGCATGTTGCAGCATTAAATGAAAAATGCAGATTACACTAACAATAATTGACATTTAATTAGCATCTACTAATGTTGTGTAACATTGTAATATGTTCATTATCATTATTAGACACTTTAAATATTTTATATAAGTGTTCTCCTGACCCTTCCCTATCATAGGTCATCAATGGTCAAATGAACTTTTAGTTTAAGTCTTATAGGGTCCTCTGTCTTTTAAGTCTGTCAAGAGTCAAGTCTTACTTATTCATTGACTTGTTCCTAGAATATGAATGGATAAGTTCAAGTCATCTAGAGCTATGAGTTACAATTAATTAATATGCTTGTTCAACAGGGTTCAATATTTAGAACCATTTTACCATGTTTACTGCAATTGAAAAGTAATGAACAGTTCAATCCTTTTGGTATGATATTTGATGCTAGTGTGAATTGCATAACATTTATGATTAAACTTAAATGAACTAATATAACTCTGGCTATTAACTCTTCCCTAGTATCCTTCAAATAACCTCTAAATCATCTTCATATCCATGGCCTAAATGGGGAAGGAGGGAGGGGTTACAAATAGTGACCGAGGATAATTTGAATCAAAGCAAGAAGATGTTAAATACTCAAAACTAGAAAGATTGGAGACCATTTATACCCTTCCTAATATTTTGCCTAATACATAACACTAAAATCTATTTTGTCAGACACTTGCTGATTCTTTTATCAATACCTCAACATCAGGCAATGCATGATCTATCCAATGGATTAAAGATTATACTTGATTCTAATATGGCAAAATTAATTTTTCGTATGAATTGCATAGAGCATCATTTTGCAGTTATACTAAAATGCATCCATTCATTCATTGGCTCATAGTTAACAAAAAAGCTATTCTCTGGAAGGTACAGTATAATTTCTATTTAGTATTTAGCAAAATAATTGCAAGATAAACAATTTACACATGTTTCTGATATGCTGTATTTTCAATGATTCCTTCAATAGTGGTTCGGTATATGTTTCTGAAATACTTCAAATAATTCCTCAACTAATCTGTTTAGTGTATGAAATCAAAAAAAGTAGATACATTTGTCCCATACTTGGACATGTTTCAGATACATATAGCAGGTTTATAAATACTTATATTTTCATCAGCGGGCAGATATAGCTAATGTCCCGGCCTGAGAGGGCAGATATATTACACCTGCCCACTAAATCATAATCATCATTTGTGTATGATTAGCAATGAGGGAAGTAGCATACTTAATACAATCAATGATTCGAGAATATGTGGATGAATACTTAAAAAACAGGAGAATCCTCCTAAGGCCAAGAAAACAAAATTAGACATGAATACATTCATATGGTTGAATTCTTTCTAACTCTGGCCAATTGAACAATGTGAACCAGATAAGAAAGATTGATATGGGATAAACAGATCATCCTATAGTCAGTTCATGCTATTAGGATTATCCCTTGGCGAATATAATATATCTTCCCTCAGGACCTAAGGCCTTTGACCAATAGAAAATATCTTCCCCCGGGACCTACAACCCTCGGCCAGATATATTATATTGGCCTCGGGATAATTCCAATACCCTGAACCTCATAGAGGATAATCTCTATTCATCTTCATCAATTATATTATACATATAAATCGGGATATAAATATAACCTAAAGTAAGAAATCACATTCTCTAACCAGTAATATTTAATTTTAAAATTGGTAAATGATGATTATGTCACAATAGAATTGATGACCATGATTTATTTGAGAATAAAACAGACAAAACAAAGGCTAACAAAAATCTTTAAAAATTTGGGTAAAACATAAATATTTCAAAATTGCTTGTTTTTCATCATTATTACTTCGATCTCCAAACCCTAAAAATGAGTGCTACAAATTGTTTCAAGTTAAAGGATGCCTAATTTTATGAGCAAACTAGTAATCTTGTTGGATATTTTTCTTCGACAATGCCTTATCTAATTCATCTATATACAAACTACTAGATTCCAAATACTATTTTACAGGATGGGTGTTCATGAAAGTAACACTAAACATCAATTTTGTCATAAACTGAACAATGCAGCTAATTGATTCTCCCATCTAAGCAACAGAGCCTCTTTTAATATATTGTAATTTCAAAATTGCCTCTAATTCAAGTTTTTCAATCAAATCTATAATGGACACAGCTGGTAATATCTTTATACCATATGAGTAGAATGTTTGTTTCTTTCAAATTCATGCTTTCGTTAGAAACATGGATATCACTAATTCATAGTTTTGATTCATATTTAAAATGGTGTGCATTATATATGAGGTTTAATTAATGGGAAGTTTTTAATACAGGGAAATACAATATATCTGAGGGAAATACAACTAGATAATGGCAACTCCGCGGAGTAGCAAATCCCAACGAACAAAATATCAATTACCGAATTCCAATCAATTATACTCATTACTTTGGTTGAAAATGAAAAAATTAGATTTTAGAATTGCGAATTCCTGCAAAGCAGCCATTTTGAATTTTCTGAGGTACAAATCTGAAAAATAATACCATCATTGTGATCTACTCCAAAATTCCTTCAATTTGAGTATAATATAGCCATACTTTGAAGGGATCGAAAAATTATTGCGAAATCGTACATTAGACGGCCATTTTGAATTTTACGAGGCTCGAATCAGAAAAAAGATACAATATTTGCAATCTACTCTTAATTGCCTTTCATTTGAGTATAATAAAGCTATACTTCAGAGAGATCTAAAAATTAGCGAAAATTTCTGTTTTCCTGTCCCCCAATACATGGCCCCTGGGGGTCAGGATGAAAAACACGGAATATATGTGAAATAGATAAATGTTGTGAATACACTACCGAAATTTCAAACAATAATATTAATTACTTTGGTTTAGAATGAAAAATTTATGATTTTTGCGAAAAAGTCCCGTCAGTTTTAAAGCGGCGGCCATCTTGAAAAAAATTGAAATTGCACAGAATGAAATTCCTGCAGGGGATTACTGAGCGGGTGATAAACCTGGCGATACATAGAGATTATCCTATATGAGGTTAGGATAGTGGAACTATCCCGAGGCAAATATAATATATCTGCCCGAGGGCGATTATGACGGAGTGGGCAGATATACTATATCTGCCCGCTCGCAACGGGACGTAAAGCTATATCTGCCCGCTGATGAAAATATAAGTTTTTACAAACCTGCTTTATGTACCTGAAACACGACCAAGTATGGGATAAAGCGGGATATGCAGTACATGTATATCCCCACTCACCTAAGGTATCAATTATATTCATGCATTTTATTTACCTATAACACTAAGTATAGGATAAATAACTTTTACTGACAAATTGTATAAGTACATGATTACATTAGTCACAACTACTCACTAAAAGGTTAACTTATTGCATGAAGAAATGTAATTCTACATGAAGATTTCAAATATGATATCACTTATTTGACTGAATTTTTAATTTTTAATGATGTAAAGCAAGATTATTTCTACTTGCATCTAAGTCTATTTCATTGTATAAGTCAACAATTAATAAGGCAAATACATATCACTGGCTTCCCTGATTCATTTAGATTCCTTGCACTTTTAAAATCATCAATAATTCATATAGGGTTGAACTATTGAATAATGAAAACGTTGCAAATGATGTGATAGAAGTTTTTATACTATTAAGCTTGGAAATATTGCTGATATAGTTTTAATGTGATTTTAGGAGATTAAATGTTCTACTGAGGAACTTTGATTATGTTTAATTTCCTATGATCTTTAACTTTCTGAAAAAGGTCGGGCTAAATTCTCATTGAGACGATGTTAAAAATCTTAACTTCCTCTTGACTTCCTAAATGTTGAATTCTTTTGATTGTCATGAATTTAAGGTTCACACAAAATCTGAAGATCATCTAGTTTCAAACACAATCTGAATCTCATTAAGTTTGATGCAAACGCAGTTTTACTTTAATCCAAAATAACAAATATGGTAAATCAATATGTGTCTATGGTAGATGCTAGCGTGTAGTCCAACCAGCACAAGTGCTGCCATCTACCTATCCATTCATCAGTTTAGCACCTAATAAGGTCAGTACTCATGGTAACGCTTTTGTACATTGTCTATGGTAAAAATAAATCAAACAGAAATGTTAACTTGACACGATTGGTAATGCCCACCTTGAAGGGTGTAGGGATAAAGGGAAGGGTCAGGATAACACTTATATAAAATATTTAAAGTGTCTAATAATGATAGTGAACATATTACAATGTTACACAACATAAGTAGATGCTAATTCAATTGTTGTTAGTATAATATGTATTTTTCATTTAATGCTGCAACAAGTACACACGTACCAAAAAGTGCCACGCCAACTTTTTCCTAAAAGCAGCTATGTGTGACTATATTTGATAAATATTATTGATTTATAGGATCACTTTTCAGTGTCTAAATGTTAAAATATACATATTGATACAATTTTTGACAAAGTAGCAGCCATAAAATCCAAACAGATTTGCAAATATTTCACTTTGAGATCAAAGGGACACATTTTGGAGGGGGTCAAATTGAGAATATTTTAAGATATAAATACTGTTTCTATGGTAACCATATCAGTTAGAGATTGGAAATTTCTGGCACTTACTTACCATAACATGCCCTACCCAATATAAAACAATGAATATCTGACATGCATTAGTATTCTTTTTATTGGGTGGTATTAAAGTACCCCCATGGTTTTTTGGGGGTAGGGGTATTAATTGGTCTGAGGGCCGTCTGCCACCCCTATAGAAAGTCCAACTACCCAGAAAGTGTCTAGTATCATCATACAGATGGTGTGAAATAGGTTGGAATGTGTAACCTTTCATGTAAGGAAGGAGTTACAATTATCAGAGTGGGCCGTAGTCTATTATGCCTATTTGCTAATGCCTATGGCAACTTACAAGCATTGTGTAGTACTGGAGTAGCTCTACACCAGTTTTGGAAAATCAGAGCTCAAAAATTGAAAAAGGTCTTTCTGAATTTTTCAAGGTCAAATTTCAACTTTCTGTAATTGAATTCTCATCTACAAGTTACCATAAGTTCACATTTGAGATTTGACCTTTTACTGACCTTCAAATTGCAGGGGCATTTACAGGGGCCTCAATAAGATTACTTGCAATGTCAAGTTTTAAATAGAAGCTAAAGAAATCCTTGAGCTACAAAAAGTTGCTAACTTGCTATAATGAGGGAGGGTATGGCTGTCTGTAGTAATTCCAATTCTAACATAATTCTCCATCAAAAATAAAACCACAACAATCCAATGACTAATAATGATGCACACTAACACTGATATACATGTTTGCTTGCCCATCGGACACTTTATTTTCTCATAGGTTTAATTCTCCACGGTCAATATACTGTATTTTTCTTTAATTTGGTAAGCGTTTTAATTTGGTGAATTAAAAATTTGCAAAATTAGATATTCGTCTAATTCTCCGTGAAATTGGTAATGCATTTGGTGTATTTCTGGTTATGAGAAATATACCAAGATGGCTAAGATTGTTTAAATTTAGAAATATTAGAAGGTATCGTTAATCAACAAAACTGACAATGAGTACCGTATTCTCTCTAGTGAGAGCACAGTGCAGTTTCCAAATTGAAATATAAAGAGATAAGATATTGAGAGATTCTAATAAGCAATCATACCAAAAATTTAGAAAAGATATCGCTGATAATCGTTTTGGTTGTAATCACTGAAGGTTAACATACTCTTGAGCTTCTGTTTTTCTTCTCTGCATTAGATATAACCACTTCTTGTGAGTTTTGAAATTATTTGTTTGAAAATAAAGACAAAAAAATCGAGATTCCAATTTTTAGGTAAAAAATGCTGTTTGATTTCAAATTTTGTAATCACGACATCCTTCATAATCAGATTTATTGTTCGAAAATATCAAGATTGCATTCTGGGATCCAATCCTCCTCGAGCAAAACATGCCTGAACTTTAGGTAAAACTGGATCACTATCATTGAGGATTTTGCATATATCTTGAGTCAACTATTGTTGGTGGTGGTGTTGGCACCATTGGATGCTGTGGTTGCATCTGTGGTGGTCCACCAGTCATTTGCTGCCATCTTGTTTGATCACCAAATACTCGCTGCTCCTCACCTGGAGGAGGCACATTTTGCACTGATTGGTTTCCAAATAACTGATGCTCCCCGGGAACTATGAATCCTGGATTATGTTGGAAATATCCAGGCCACTGAGGTGGGGGTGTCTGGATGACCTGTTGAGGGGGGAAATATCCAGGGGCCTGCACAAGTCCTTGACCAGGCACCATACCAAATGGCTGGCCAAACACAACAGGTGAAGTTGGTGTGTTTAACAATCCATCTCCATGATTCTGCCCACTAGCTCGGTTTATAGGTGCAAATTGTCCTGGTCTAATTGGTCCATTATTTAGCATACCACTATTTGGTGTCCTCATTTGACCTCTGGGCAGATATCCCCTTGGAGGGGGCCAGGTAGTTTGCTGCGGGGGTGCCCCACTGCGGTGTCTTTCTGGTGGCCAAGAGGTGATTGGTCTATCAGAGGGACCTGCAAATAACCAGAAAAAAAGAATAAAAATGAAGAGAAAAATTGCAAGTAGAAAAGGTATTATAACTAGAAGTGAATTTCAAGATTTTTTATTGTTGTTGAAGCTTTAATTAATCAAGGATTGATTTCACAAGTTCATGTATCATGAAATAATGAGAAAATATGATTCAAATGATTTGTTATAATGCACTTTAGGAGACAAACTTTGCCTTATTTGCCAAAATTGTTAGCTTATATCTGTAGTTTGCTCGTTCTTACCTCTGTTATGATTCTGACTGTCTGACTGGCCAGACCTACATTGTTGTTGTTGTCTGGAAACAGAAATTTACTGTTTTATTAGCAGCAGATGCAATTTATTAAGTAATCAATGCCAATGTAATATTCAGGGCTAGTTAAGAAAGGTACATAGGGTTTCAATTCTAATCCTGAGAAAACACTGTCATAACTCATTAGACTTTGTTTTCAGATTCATATGAAAATTGAAAACTGACGTAGGAAGGGATAGAAATTGGTCCCAGGAAGTGGGATTTTGAGTACTTTGTACTGGGGAAGAACTTTTAAAATGCATATCCTGGCAATTTAAATATTGTATTTGACCAGCTGTTATTGTTTCAATGCTCATGGATAATTTTAAAATTGCAGAGCAGTGGTACACTATTCATGTCAAGTTACCTGTCTCTTGTCTGATTGGAATTTTGTTTGTCCTGTTTTTGACTGTTGCGATTTTTTGCCCATTTCTTTTTCTGTTGTTCTCCTTCTTCCCCAGTAGCTCCCTCTTGTGGTGGTTTACGGTTCTTCTGTTTTGCTTTGTGTTTCGCTTTTCTTTCTGCCTCATCATCCGAATATTCAATGTACTATAAATAAACAAGTCTGAATATTCAATCTCTATATCACTACCCACACTTCGTCAGGTGGGATAATAAACATACACCTTAAAAACACCATGAAATTTTAAACGCAACATTCTCTAACATCAAATGAAACAAATTCTTTATAATATCAACTGACCTTTTGTGGTGGTTCATTGTTGAACTCCCATGATGCATCAGAGCCCTTCAATCTGAAATTTAAAAAAGAAATTCACCTAAAAATACTAATACTCGCTCTTTGTTTTAAGATCATAACACATTGTGTTGTAAAAGTGAAGCTCAAAGAATATGAGGTATGTTTACAAGTATTTTTAAATATTACCATTCCCCATTTCTCTTCATCAATCCTAAAGGAAGGGAGGGATGTACACAGATCTAACCTGAGATTTAGTGCCACATTCGAGTTACTTTCAACAGAGACTAGATGACTTACTGCTTAAGTTGTGCCAGGAAGACGTATTTGGTGAGTTCTTGAGATCCAGGAGCATAATATATCTCAGTGTCCTTCTCTATTCCAAGCTCTTTGATCTTCTGCTCACTGCTGAATAGCACAGTGTAGAAAGGGGCAATAACTGGTCCTATCACATCAAATACCTGTAACAGCATTTAATATATTACTAGTTGCCAATATATACAGGGTGGGTAAATAAAAATGGGACACTCACATTGTGTTCTATTTAAAAGAGCAGATATCTTTGAGATCCTAAATATCTCTAAGAATGATACAAAGGGGCCCAATTTTATTGCCCACCCTGTATGTTTTTTTATTGAACTACTATGGCAGGTCATTATAACAAAATGTATGTAGCTGCTGTTTTTTAAAAATAAGTTAGACATCATAAAAAATATTTGAAATAATGTAACACGAGGAGTTAGTTGACTGTTGAGTTAGGACTTGAGTGTGAAGGCCAATACCTACCTGACCACAAACACTCCTGTCCTTTAGAAATAGCACACTGTCAAGGTCAAGAGCTGGGATCTCAGACAAGCCTTGAATCACAACTGGAATAACATGGCCAAACTTATAACTATGATAAACAAAAAATGTACTTGTACATTACTTTACCGTTAATCATTATTGAACACCTCTTTTTAATCTCAGTATTTGTACTTCTCAAATATCTCGATAAACTTCACATTAACTGCAAATCATAAACTTCTGTTCTCATATTATATACAAGTACTGAAGATCGTACAGTAATATGGCCAAACTGCTAAGAATTTAAATAAATGTTTCTCACCCTGTAACTCAACTACACTGGAGACTTTGCCCACTGGTAGTATTTCTACATCATCTGGCAGAGTCAGGTGCATCTCTTCAATGTTAGCTACCATTTCCTGTAAATGGAATTACAGTTACAGTACAGTATACAAGTGTTGTTCAAAAAGTTTTGCACAAATATATCTAATTATGAAAATAATGAACCAATCTTTTTCATATTTGGTAAGTTTGTTCCCCCATCTTATTCCCTTACACTGTCAAGTTTTCATGTATGTATGATTAATACTTAACATTTTATGGTTGCTATGGTAACCAAGGTGATGGTGGCACGGTACATATCATTTTTAAAGAGAAAACAAGCAATACATAAAGCAAAACACCACTAAACATGCCCAAATTTACTTACATAAACTATCAACTTAAATTTAAGCAATATCTAGTATTGTTCTCTTGGCAAAAATGAACCTTATATCAATATTTCTCATCTTATTTTCTTTGGAAATGCCAAAGAATGACCGTAAACATACTCTTCAAACATCTTGAACAAATCACCTGATTTTATGACGTTATCAAAGTTCTCATATCAATTTATGAAATATTGGAGAATATGACTCAAAATAATAAAGTTGAGGCAGAAAACATTGATAGAATACATGTTAAAGAATGGGAAAACAGAATTACACAAGTTAAAATCATTCATGCATTAAGACATTGCATACAATGACTCCTATAGGCATTGCTATATATTCCAAGATGGAATCAGACAAAGGGAAATGTATTGAAGGTAGCTGTAGTTATCAGTAGGCTTGACATTCTATAGGTAGGAGGGTTCAGACATGGTTTCAAAGACTGGTGTACAGAATGCTACAAGTAGCATTCCTGCTACGGAAGACTACATAAGAACTCTATATTTTGATTGATTATAAACTGACTAACTGTTCAAAGAAAACAGATTGACCGAACAATTTCAGCCTTTCAAGGCATTCACAAAATTAATTCAATTTAATGACGTCATATGTACCATGAGACCATTGGTTCACATGTTAAAGTCAATGTATCTCAAGAAGTATATTGTGTATGGTCCTGAAATTTCAGATATGAATGTAAGCTAGGTGATACTATATCCGTAAGAAATTTCATGTAAAAATGATAAAATCTCTACTTATTGCATGAGCATTTTTTAAACTAAAATCCGGGGTAGTTTCAGATATGGGGGAGTTGAGCTAGGTCTATTACAAGTATGCAAGGTATAGAGCTTATAATACTAGCCTCAGGTAGAAGTTCTCCATGTGTCTTGAATCTGTTCTCCCCTTGGCCTGGTTTCCTGTTAGCCTGATTTTTGTCTCCCCTGAAAGTAATTCTATGTAATTATTCTAGTTTATATACTCATCATATATGAAGGGATTTTCTTATAGCTTCAAGATCTCGCTAATTTTGTTCAATAAATCACACACATCAAATATTGCAGATAAAAGATTGCAAATTCTTTTCAATATGACTGCCACATCTCAATATGCCTAAATGACATTGGAAATAATATACCAGTGCAAAGTACAAAATTATATAAAATAAAATGAGATAAAAAACTATTCTCCCCTTGAATAAAAGTGTCTGACGGCCTGTATATAATTTGCCAAAGAAGTATTTGGTACCAAACACGAGGAAACAATTATCTGCTCTAAAAATAATCGATTAAAAGTAAATGAGTGCTTACTTAATAATTTCTTCATCGGATGCTTGTAGATCTTCAAAGGAGTGTTTGGCCAGACTGCTGTCTTCACTATCACTAGAATCACTGCTACTACTACTGCTTTCTATTCTATATGTAACCTCCGAATCAAATCCTGGAGCATTGTCATTATGTTTTTCATAATCCTTATCAATTACTTCAACTTTCACATGCATATCAGTAAATGTTGGGGCACTATTTTCTGTAGCCTCATCAGTCTGTATTATAACATCAGAATCGCCAGTTTCTACAGTGGGTTCTGAAACAACTACTGGGGTATTATCACTACTAGTGTGTTGGCATATATCAATATTGTTCTTTGATTGAGAATCAGTGTCCATAACTGTAGGGATATCTGATTTGTTTGCCTCCATTTCATTTGTTTCATTCATATTTTTATTTTCTTGATGTTCAACAGTTTCCATTTCTCTTGGTTTATCTTCCATATTAATGTCACAATGAGCATCCTTTTTGACACTCTCCATTTTGTTGATAGTTTCGTTATCAATGCTATTGCCCTTATCAATTGTTGCTTTGACTTCCTTCCCTTCTTCATCAATATTATTAGACATCTCATCTACTATAGAATTTATTTTCTCAGTCATGTCTTTATTCTCTCCAGGGTTTTCACTGTAGTAACTGCAAACAGATCAAGTAATTTACTAATTTTGCTGTTCTATGAAAGTACATGTACATGTACATGTATGTTGTACATGTTATCTATGACAAAGGAAGGCTGTGACTGACTCTGATAGACAGCCTTTTAACACAGGATATAGGTCACTTTATAGTCATAACATTTGAAACTGAAATACCAAATTCAGCGGCTTACTTTTTATCTACAAATTTTCCCAATTTCAGTAGCCTTTTCCAGTGAAACTATGGAAGGTTTCATTAGTCAAATCTTTCGAATGCCGATAGTGAATTTATAGCTAGGTAAATATCAGATGATAATAACCAGGCTGCGGCAAACCCACTGTCCCGCTGCCCTGGGACCACACCAGTCAATTTGTCAAACCATACCAGATAAGCTTCACTGAACACAGTATGCTACGGACCAGTAATACTCACATTATTAATCATTGGTTATGCGTTTATTGATCATATTCAGTGCAAATGTGAGACAAATAAGATGTATCACAAAAGCGAACGTAGGATTAAATGTATTCTCGCCGAGAACTTTGTAAACTCAAATGTAATTAGTTCCTATTTCTAAACTTTTCTGTTTTTAGCCAATCAGAACACCAGTTAAAAAACGCGACATACATAAGAGAGGTGCAATACCATCGGGATATTAATATTTTAATTTCTTTTCTTCTTTTTTGATTGGTCGAGAATAACAACTTAGTAGAAATTCAACCAATAGCAAGCCAGTCCGGCGAATACAAGGATCAACCTGATATACTGAGATATCTAGACTATGTGAACATCGTCTGGACTTTGTAAGTCTTGGAAGCAAAATGGAGAGTGATTTTGCTGAGTCTGTGTTTGCCATTGGACGGTTTAGCGATTTATTTAAGGCGAAGCTAAATTAAATAAAAAGTACAAAAAATGACTGCCATATTTTTTTGATAAAGACACATGTTTTTAAAATCTGTTTACCTTGTATATGAATTGTGTATCTTGACTAATGAAACATGTCAAAGTTAACATCACACATAAACGCAGTTTTCCAAACTATGAATTGGAGGTGTATAAGCTAGCATGAAGAGTGCGAAGTGAGGCTAATTTTTGAAAGTTTCAAGGAGTAGCCTTGCAACAGTCACACATTTGCAAGAATCTAAAATTTCCACAAATCATCTTACCTTTCCCAGGAACAACGAAGGAGCATGAAAATGTGCACTCCCTGCATTGTTAGAGTATAATAAAGCTCAAACCATTGTAAATTTAAATATTTCATGTCTACCATTTTGTTTGCCGGAACTACTTCTAGACTTTCTGATTAATCCTCATACAAGTTTTGTGACTACACCAAGTGGCATGGATTATCACTTGTATATTTTATCTATTACAGTATAATTATCATGATAGATACATGATAGAGGCTTTATGAATGAGAAACAATGGATACATGAATGAGGATAACTCGGGACTAAAAAATAGTTCCAGGAAACAAAATGGTGGACATGAAATATTTAGAATTCACATTGGTTTGAGCTTTATTATACTCTAACAATGCAAGAAGTACACATTTTCATGCTCCTTCGTTGTTCCTTGGTAAGGTAAGATTATATCTGGAAATTTTGAATTCTTGCAAATGTGTGACTGTTGCAAGGTTACTCCTTGAAACTTTGAAAAAATAGCCTCACTTCACACTCTTCATGCTAGCTTTTGGGAGCCATGCACCTCCAATTCATAGTTATGAAAAATGCATTTAAATGTGAGGTTTTCTTTTATGAATCTCTTTAGTCAGGAAATGCATTTACATACAAGGAAAACCGTAAACAAAATCTTCTGACTTATTCAAAAAAATATGTCTCCCATGTTTTTGTACTTTTGATTAAATTAAATGTCACCTTAACGCCGAGACCCTATCTGTTGCAAGACTAACGCCTGGCGTAACCGTCACCATGTTATTCAGTGTTTTTTAAGTAGCGCAAGGATCCTGCCATGACCGTGGTAATGTTATCGTGAAAGCCTGGTATAACCACGACAATGCTGTATTATATTGCAATGCCTGGTATGACCGTGACAATGTAATATAGTACTGCAAGGCCTGGCATGACCGTGACAATGTAATATAGTACTGCAAGGCCTGGCATGACCGTGACAATGTAATATAGTATTGCAAGTTCAGGTATGAGAGTGGTAATATAGAAATTTACGATTTGGACTGCTATAACCGTGACAATGTGTATTGCAAAGCCTGGCATGACCATGGCAATGTAATATAGTATTGCAAGGCTTGGTATGACCGCCATGGCAATGTGATATAGTATTCCAAGTTCGGGTATGAGAGTGGTAATGTAGAAATTTATGATTGCTAATTGACCGTGACAATGTGTATTTGAAAACCTGGCATGACCATGACAATGTATTATGGGATCGCAAAGCCTGGTATGACCGTGACAATGTAATATAGTATTGCAAGGCCAGGTTTGAGGGTGGTAATGTAGAGATTTAGGCTTGTTCTACTATGACCGTTATAATGTATTGCAATGACTAGTAAATATGTATGACATTAATGCCAGGAATATCCTTAACAATTTTAAGTGATCCTCATTACAATTAAACAGTTTAATACTATGATCACGGTGTTTAACTACCTTAATCATGTCAAAATCAAAATTACTACTATACAAAATATTCACATTCGCTTATAAGCCACAATAAAGGCTACGGTCGCGCCAGGCTTCCACGATAACACTTCCAGGGTCATGACAGGCCTTGCAATAGAATACAGCATTGTCACGGTTATATCAGCCTGTCACGGTTATACCAGGGTTACACGATAACACTACCACGGTCATGGCAGGATCCTTGCGCTACTTAAAAAACACTGATTAACATGGTGACGGTTGTGGCAGGCGTAAGTCTTGCAATAGATAGCATGTGTTAACGCCCATGAAAAGTTAATGTAATGATATTTGATCTTCGTGACACGTGAATCTAATATTTTGATGATCAAGGACGTGAAACGTGAAAGTAATTCTGATTATTTTTTTAGTAACGTGCGACGTGAAAAACATATTACCACCTGACGTGATTACGTGACAAAACCCCCTTTCCATAGGCTCTTTCAACTAGAAATTGAAAGCCCATCATTTAGCTGAAATCGGAGGTTTGTCGAAAACAAAAGAATTTCGGCAACCATCTTGAATAACGCTAGCTGCAGTCATCTAGCTGTGGAACAGTGGTGGTGGAGCAGGTCATTTTTACAAGAAATTTCAATATTTTGACACAATTTATTTTTTAAAAGAAAATCTGCTGAGTGTTCAGGCATTTCTAAACTTGATTATCATAATATCTATATCTAAGAGTTACGTTTCAAGGATACATGTTAAAGTTATATCAATAACACTTACCATTATTCCGGAAAACTTGAATTGAAAAGAAAATTATTAAAAACACAGGAACCATGTGTATTTGGTGACCTTTGACATGAAAAAATAGGTCAACCGGATATGAGTTTCAAAGACACGTTTCTACATCATTTGAAAGAATCGTGATTAGTACATGTGGTTGAGGACTTCTTTGAAACCCTTTTCAAGTCATACTTTCATGATGTTATGGCTCTAGAAACAGAATAAATCGCCAAGATTATCGAGAGGTGAATGAGAACATTCAAGGTCACGCGCATGCGCACTTGTTGGCTGGGAAACATTTGGATATTACATGTGACGAAATTTGTCTTCATTTTAGCTAATTTTACGCAAAGTTTTCCTTTTAATCGTTCACAAATGATGAATTCAAAACAAGATCCGGGTGGAATTTTCGGCGGTTATGGTATGGGTGATCCTAATGTAGGACTTGCTGGTGAGTAGTCTCTGCCAAATTTCCCCCAAAAAATGAAAAATTACGAAATCTAGAGTCCATTTCACTGGTTCATTTCGTCAGTAGAACGGCAAAAATAAGAAATTGGGAGACCATTGTGCAATAATATATGGAAAAGTATATTCATAATGTACATGAATGACATTTGTATATTTTTAAGTTTTTTGTGCAATAAGCCTGGGCCGTCTTGTAATTTGAAGAATTTCAGCCATGTTAATCTTATTGAAAATAACATGGCAGAGAAACATCCAAATATAAGAGGCCACACACTTTATAAGCCAAACTAGAAGCAAACCAAGATGTACAAATGTCATTCATGTACATTATGAATATACTTTTCCATATATTATTGCACAATGGTCTCCCAATTTCTTATTTTTGCCGTTCTACTGACAGGTATGACATGTGATATTTATTGATAAACTGACTCCAAAATCAAGGAAATATAAATTTTCCGAAGATTTTGTGTTTTATCCTTGAGTATATTTATTGAGCCTAGACACCACTGAAGAAGAGCTGGGGGAGCCATGTTTTTCACCTCATATGGATCAAGGTTTTACAAGATTTTGTATTTTTTTTCGAATTTAGACATCGTGGAAAACTGATAATCTAATTTTTTGCAAAAGAGTGTCAAAGTTGCCCCATTTCTCATGTTGACACCCCATATTGTCAGGGTTTATTGGCAGAACGGGTTTTTCATTTTTTTAAAGTGAATTTCTGGCAAGATACTGGCCATCACACACCATGCACACTTTTAGTTACATGTACAAAATGTGCAGTTTATGATGTGCATCAAAAAATTGTAATTTGTTAAACCTGTTGTGTTAGCACTGGCAGATCTGGGGGGGAGCGCCCCTTGTTTATTCCCAGATCCGCCCCTGGTGTTAGGATGGTAACCATCTACCATTCTACCCAGTAACATATGCAGCCAGGTTTTTACACAAACCCTTAATCACAACTGAATGGGAAATCAATATTTTCAGGAAGTCCAAACTCAGGAGCATTACTGTCACCATTACATCCTTACCTGAATGTAGACCCAAGCCTTGTAGGCCCAGTAAGTACTTAAACATTTACTTGTTATAAACTAAGTAATTTTTGTCTTTGAGAAGTTCAGTACTTTATTTCCACAAATACAATATCGGGTTAACACTTCATATGAAAGTTTTAGTTTGACACTAAAATCCCTAAAATCGTTATAATTGAATTGAATAACTGAATATTAAATAATAACTCAGATGCGGGTAGGTAGTTAACAGTTTCACCACCAGGTGACTCGTTCGTTTCAGATAGGATGGCCAGGTGGGTATAGTAGTATTAGTTCCCTTTAACATAGATTTTCATCTGTTTTGGTGGTTCAATTATATCACCCTAAATAATCGTTATGCAAATTAAAATATGTCAAGTAAAAGAAAATGTTATAAAAGATATTCACTTTTTGTGTTTTTATAACATGGGGTCTATGGGGAATATCCTCGAACTAGAAGTCACATTTTCAAAAAAATTAAATTTTCAAAGTTGATAAATAATTTTCAAAACCATGATTTTAGATGTACTTTTACATGTAGATTTCAAATATGACTAAATTTGGAATATTTAATGACGTAATTCAAGATTATTTCTACTTGCATCTAGTCTATTACAATGAAAGTGAAAGTGATTTAACTCACATAGGTTTTCTTTCTTTTTTGTAGGGTGGAGCAGAATATATATTTCCCGAGGGGGCCAGCAAAACTCGGGGAAGATTTGAAATGGCATTTTCACAAATTGGAGGCTCAGTTTTTGCAGGTAGGCATTATTTGTGTCTCTTATGTTTCATACCCAATATTTCAATGGTCACAAATCTTTTCATCAAAACTAGAAAATTTTTACATTTGTGAGAACAAACTAATATCTAGATTTGATTAGGTTTTGGGTATCAGTGGCCATTTTGATTTTATTGAAAAAGTGTGATATTTGATATTTCTCACTGTGTGTCTTGTCTCGTACATGTTTTATATTTTATGTTAAAGGCGGTGCTGTGGGAGGGGCAAATGGAATTATAACTGGCATCAAAGAAACAGCAGCAGCACAGCTAACAGGTCCAGTCAGGAGAACACAGTAAGCGAGCATTCTATATCACTTTAGGCCAATCAGAACACAGAATAGCCATTTTATATTTTACAAAATATGAATGGTTTAGGCATTCTATATCACTTTCGGCCACCAGAACACAGAGAAGCCATTTTATATTTCACAAAAGATGAATGGTTTAGGCATTTAACAGTGCGTATCAAAAAAAGATACAACAAATAGTTATCTTGGAAAAGCATAAAACCAGTGATAACAGCATTGATTTCATTCAATGTACCATAAGGCCATGTGTCTCCTCTTTCCAATGGTATGTGATTTATTGACATTGGGTCAGGGTTGGACGAATATTCATTCCTTTTGCAAAGTGGACCAACATTAGTTTTTGACCAAGTTATAAACAACGCGAAAGTCAGTGCACAGGGCTGAAATTGATAACCTTGTCAAAGTTATGATTCAAGTTGGCCATTCCGTTTACTGCCCCTGTACATAGGGGTATGGTCACAGGGAGCATTGTCGGACAAGGTTTAATAATTTCTTTATTGAAAATTAGATACATCCTTTTATTGCATACAAAAAAGCACCTGGCTGTAGAAAGGATGGAGACCTACAAGTTGTATAAGTGTCTATTGAAATAAAATATTCTTCATTCAGAGGTTTTAATTGACAGAATAGTACAAACAACTAATCTGCATGCTCAATACATGTTCAAAGCCTCCATACTCTTCATACACCTACACTTTGAATAGCATTACGTCTGTTTTAAGTATGTTTTGTGTCTATAACTATGATGAGCCCATTTATATTTACCATTTTGAAAATGGTGGCCATCCTTATGGGTGTTGTTTTACGATATTTGCTATATATTTTGTTTGTAAAATGCCAGCCATTTCTGTTCGATGGGATTCGCTACGCTTTGGCGTTGCCGTTGTTCTGGTATTTAAGTTGATGTGATCTTTTTCCAGAATGTTGAACTATATAGCCAAACAAGGGGCATCTTCAGCTCAGGCACTGGGAGTAGTAGGTAGGTTACTAAATAACAAGGAGCGGTATAATAATCAAGTAGTATAATACATGTACACTAAATCCTTTATTTGACTTGCGAATACTTCTCGAAATGTTTAAAATAATGTTTTTTGATCTGTTGGTTGAGGAATCAAAGATATTGGATAAACATTGGCAAAAAGCCTGCCCCATTTCAGAGACTTTTTGGCCAATTTGATACAGTAGTATAAAAAATGAAATAGCCTAGGTGGCACTGAATTGAATTCATGTGTTAATGAGTTTAATTGATTTTCAGCTCTTATGTACAGTGTGTTCGGTGTGATTATTTCTAAAGCAAGAGGAGCAGATGATGAACTCAACACTTTAACTGCAGCAACTATGACAGGGCTTCTCTATAAATCATCAGGTAAGTCTCTGACAGGATTCCTGTATAAATCATGAGAAACTCTGACAGAATTGCATAAATCATTGAGTAAGTCTATGACAGAACTGTATAAATCATTGACTAAGTCTATGACAGAACTGTATAAATCATTGACTAAGTCTATGACAGAACTGTATAAATCATTGACTAAGTCTATGACAGAATTGCATAAATCATTGAGTAAGTCTATGACAGAACTGCATAAATCATTGAGTAAATCTTTGACAGAACTGCATAAATCATTGAGTAAGTCTATGCCAGAACTGTAGAAATCATTGAGTAAGCTTATGCCAGGACTTCAGTGTAGATCACTAACTCTTTAGTTAATGCAAAATGGTATTCAATTTATAAATAGAAACTAAGTATTTCAAATTGTTTGTTTACAGCGGGTTGGAAGAAATGTGGACGTGCAGGGGCAGTAGGGTTTGGACTTGCAGCAGTATACTGCTTATATACCAGTAAAGACAGAATAAAGGGAGTCCTTTCAAGTAAAGGATACGATTCTTTATGATACAGAAAACAACATCTAGGAAATAAAATCGCTAAAGCAATGGATTAATTTGTGATGCAGAAATTAGGATAAATAACATATTTTAGTACACAGAAAACTCATAATGGAAATAATGGAAATGTGAAGGATAACTAGTCAACTCTCAAGCAGAACTGTCTAAAGTGTGTATGCAGTTTATGTGAAGATGCTATACGTACACGGCACATGGCAGCGTAACATCCTACGAGGAAACCTTTGAAAACTGGTTTAACCCAACTGCTAATGAAAGTGAGAAATGGAGATAATTTATCATCAGATTTGATTGATTGAAAAAGAGCATTTCGCTCAACTTGGATTGTGTTTAATTTGTTAAAAAGACTTTTTTATTTATTGACAATTTCTTGTTTGTTTTGTGAGGCATATTTTTATGATTTAAAAGTTTAATGAGTGAACAAACAAGAATGTAGGGACATATTAAAAACAATATACGATTTAATCACATTGAACATATGTGTTGTACAGTTTGAAAGCTAATAAATGTTTGACTGTAAGATTGACTCTGTCCATGGAATTTCTCTATAGAATCAGATCTGTAGCAGGTGACAAAATTACAAGCAACGTGTACATTTGACCTACATTCTATTCCAGTCCTTTCCATATCAAATACAATATCTCTCAAAAGATCTGCGATAAATAATAAATTGTTGAAGTTAAGCATTGAGCATTCAAAGTGCAAAAATGGGTGAAATATGTTTAAATTCTCCCAAATAATAAAAATGGTAACTGTGTTCATAGAAAAACAATACATGTTTTCGTAAAGATCTTAAATAGCCGCCTTCTAGAAATAAAGTATGTACTTTGTGGATTTTTGAAGATATACATGACAAGGAATGAAATGAGCCAAAAATATTCTAAAATTAAAACAATTTTGTTTAGCCTGTTCCCTAGATCTGATTCTTTCTTTAAGCAATCAAATTGTGCAAATGAAGCATACATAATTATAAGATTCACTACATCATATGTAAAGACTGCTATTCAGCTCACACTGAGTATGTTAAAGAATAAATGTAAAGTGTAACATCCCCTTAGTCATTGTTTATCAAAGTCAGAATAAACCAGCTGCTGCTGAAAGAAAGCAATGGAGACAATTTCTTAGATTTTTATTGAGGTCCCTACTTTGGAGGCCCCTTAACTTAGAGGCCCCTTAACAAGTATGATATAAGTGAGATTTTAGTTGCATTAACAGTAAAATGGGACTACCTTTGAATTAGTAGTACTGTAGTAGTCTATAATGTCTTGCATTTATGACATGCTTGACCTTTTAACACATTGAACACTAAGCTTTCGTTTGAAGACACAAATGTTCAGTCTAAAACTCTTTTACTATACTTCAACTTCTTCAAAGTTTATAGAGGCTATGCTAAATTGTCACTTACGACTCTTTCGTTGATCCTTTTCTTTCAAAATGTAATTATTTGGAAAAATTTCTCTTACAGCATGAAACATGAAAATAAATTAATTTTAAGTTCTAATTTATACAATTTTGTTATATATGTCAGTTATTTATGAATTTCCTAAGGCTCTTTTAAAAATTCTGAATCCCTCGGATTAGTTTTTAAGAAAACATACTGTAGATACACTTAATTTGACGCTACTTCATTGGGTGGATTTGCTCAATTTCATATATTGGCGGCAATTTATGTTGGTGTAGTCAGCACTGAGCTCAAGTTCTATCATAGATCTGGAAATAAACAATTCAGATTCATGTGTTCTACTTTCAGTAAGTCTTGGTATAACTGATAACACTGACATCCAAATAAGAATACTTACACAAGTGAAACAATTGCAAATTACAAATTCTTTAAAGTCCCCGTCTAAAGTTTGAAAATATTTTTTTTATCATTCATTTACTATTTGTCAGGACTTAAAAAGTGATTTTAGGGATTTTTGAACAAAGAAAATTTTTTGAAAAAAAAGTTGTGAGCATTTCATTTCTCAAATATTCAAATTTCCCGCCATTTTTCAAAAAAAGTTGAAATTTCTTAATCATCAAATATTTCTTAATGCATTTCAAAAAAGATTATCTTTTTAACATCAATGCAAAGATTGAACAAAAGACACACTATTTCAATAATAAAATGTCATTTAATAGGCCACTTCAATGTTTTAGCTTATCAAAAATATTTTGAAACATTAGTGATGTCACTAAGGTAACAAAAACTTTTTGAAAAAATTGAATTTTTTTTTCGATGTCAATCTTTTCTAAATATGCTAGACTTTCATAAAAAAACAATGTTGATTGTCTAACCAGGTTAAAAGGAAGAATAAATTATGTTTTAGATATCATTGTACCATTGGTTTCTATGAGAACTAAAATTTTGAAATGCATTTTTCTCAGAACCATTTTCATGCACTGATAAGTTCATATCTCGCTTGTTTATCAACTGATTTTCTTAATTTTTTCGGCAAAAAACATGGGAGGATGAATGCTATGCATTGATATGAATTGTGGCTAATTAGAAGATATGAGTGACCTCCAAAAGTTGGTTTTAAATAAATTCACAAATTTTGGAACAAAAAGTCTATCAAAAACCACTTTTTGAAATTTAAAAAAAAAGTTTCACATATCACACTTTGATAACATTGGGTAAGACTACAATATAAGCCAAAGTGGTTTAAACTTTACATGGGGCCTTTAAGGATTTTCCAATATAGATCTGAAAATTGGTGAATTTTTAATTTGGCGGATTTTTTCAATTCGCCAATCCGTCAAATTAAAATGGTAGCCAAATTAAGTGTATCTACAGTACTCAATTTAAAGCAATCAGTTCAAATAAAAATGTCTCTTTAGATAGGCACCACTAGAGGCATTATGAACAAAAAATGATCACATTATTATTTTACCCAAAACCAATGTTATTTCAGCACCTTATTGTTGAATTCCACATTCCTGCATCTGAACTCTTCAATGACTTTACCATTTGATACTAAGTCTAAGTTATAATTAATCATTTTGAGATCTTTTATTTGGAATTTAATTGAGTACACACTGTTAACTTCAACAACTTTCTATGTGAATGAATACAACAAGGCAAAAAAACATGCAAAATGTCACCACCTGCCATTTGTTATAATATTGATGCCGCACTTTGAACACCAACCACCGCCACAAAAATGTTTGAGACTACAACAATATGTCAATACTTTATGGGGGTGACATAAAATTATATCTTTTGGAGTTATTTTTAATAACCAATGAATTATAACAAGGCATTAATATGACAAAATGTCACCACCTAGTTGCTCACAATATTATGAGTTCAATCTTTAGTCAGATTTGAATTTCTGAGAACTTGTAGATGATTTTCAAGAAATAAATTGGTCAAGTTGAAGAAAGACCTTTTTTGATCCTGAGAAGGTCATTGAAGGTGATATCTCAAATCTAAAGTCAGATTTGAACTTCTGATAACTTGTAGATGATTTTGAAAAAAATGTCAATTAGAAGCCAGATGATAATTTTTGACCTTGAGAATGTCATGAAAGATCAAATCTTTTTTGACCTTGAGAATGTCATTGAAGGTCAAATCTATAGTCAGATTTGAACAAAAAATTGGTCAATTTGAAGCAAGTTGAAAAAAGACCTTTTTGACCTTTTTTTACCCTGAGAAGGTCATCGAAGGTCAGATCTCAAATCTTAAGTCAGAATTGAACTTCTGATAACTACTAGATGATTTTGAAAAAAATTTGGTCAGTTTGAAGCAAGTTGAAAAAATACCTTTTTGACCTTGAAAAGGTCATTGAAGGTCAAGTCTTAAATATAAAGTCAGATTTTAACTTCTGAAAACATGTAGATGATTTTGTAAAAAAATTGTTACAGACGCTGATCGCCAACCACCAACCACCATGCGCCGACCGCCACAAAAAAATTGGAGACCATAACAATATGTCACCACTTTTTGGTGGTGACATAATAATAATTGACATTGTTACATGTTAATGAATAAAATATTAACACAAGCACAGTATAAGCACAGTAAACAATTGGTTTGTTTATTATTGTACAGTAAAACCTGTCAAGTGGAATACCTCTGTAATGCCTTGGTCACATTAGCCCCGATCCATCCCCAAAAATTACGAGTAAGTAGCTGCCAAATGTTCAAAACAGCGAATCTGCCACAATAAGTAGTACAGTAATTGGAACAATAGTTAGATCTTTCCAAGGTGTTCCACTTGCACATATTTCACTGTACTTTATATTTATTTTTAACAAAGCAAGAAACCAAGAAATTGATTTCATAAATTAGACAAATATACATTTTGAATGATAGTGTAAAAGATAAAAGTAGGATAGAAAATACATTGCATGACCTAACATTCGTAAAATATAGTTTTGTTTTTACCAAAATATGGCAAGAATACTGTTGTTTGAGGGAATAGACTCCCTGTTAAAAATAGGGAGTAGTGAAAGAAATCTATATGGGATCATACTAAAATGTGAGATGTTCCTTTTGGATGACATGGTTCTTTCCATTGAATTAAAATTGTAATATATATATATATACCAGACATGTCAAGCTTCATGTGTGTCATCTAAACTTAGATTAAATCTACCTCAACACACATGCCACAAAAATATATTCAAACGTAACACCAATTTCACCTTTTTCCAAATTTTTGCAGCTTGTTCGAAATAGTAGCACAATGTATTGAGGTTTCAGAGTGTAATTCATAGGTATAAATCACCAAAAACAGAAGGCTATCATGCCAAAAATAACTTCAACAAATAGGAATGAAACGTATGACAACCCCAGTACCATTATTTAGGTTACACACAAGAAGTTGATATGCTATAAAATGTATTATAGCTACTCATATATATAATAGGATTTATTTGTACTGATGTCCTTTAAGGGCCAAACATATATTCAACATACAATTTTCCTTAACAGTAAAAATAGCAATAAAGTAAAGGAAATAGGATTACATTCTTCAAATGACATATAAAAAGTTACTTTGATATGAGAATCCTGTCTCTACCAATCATTAGATAATTTGTATTGTATTTGATTTGTATTCATATAATTTATCATGTATTTGAGCACTTAGTATAAGAATAAAACATACTGATGCTGTTACAAAACATACATGGTTAGCTGCAAGTATCTTACATCATCAAACTTATTTTATTCATGCATTTAAAACTGCTAGAGTACTTTATTTCATGACTTCATGAAAATAAGAAGGCTTGTTTCAGAAAATATGCAATTGAATGAATGGAAATGTACATGCCATGTACCTTAATAGCTGCAAAATGTGATTTCTATGAATATAATGTACATGTCATAGCTAACATGGAACATATAGGTATATACGTATGTATATAATATATGCAAATTTAATAAACCAACATTGCATAACGTACATGGAAATGAATATAATGGATCAAAGGCTACACACTCAAGCATAAAAAAGCACCACCAAATATATCAGCTTATAAATGCCATATGAGAAAATGTCACATATACATGTTAGATACATGTACAATTCATGTTTGGTAGATCACAGAGAAACTTGTTTCTTTTTTTTATCAAAAAGCCTACATGGAATATCCAAAAATGGTCTTCAAAAATCAAAAGATTTTCTATGATATTCTAATGACTATACAATACGTCTAACAATAGGGGATGTGCTCATAATATGTTCAAACACGGTACAGTTTTAATGAATACTTGAAAACAATATGATAACTGTACCTTTTCAACTCTATGCTATGTGAGCCAAAATAATTATAAACAGAGTATATTGCATACACATAATATGTGTTCTTAATTAATATGGTTTACAGGTCTTAGCCTCAGAGACACTTCTGCTCAGCAGAAATGGTGTAAAATACTTGAAAATATCATTTTGTTTATCATATTAAAATCTGCCACTGATGAATTCCAAATAAATCTCTATAAACAAAGATCAAATATGATAGCTCTGGTCGCCAGGATTATGTGGCTTGCAATAGAGAAACTATCGAAGCTTGATCTTGTACATATAGAAATAGTGGAGCTCATATAGTGCTGGATACACATAAACAAGCCACTTATAGCATGATAGCAGAAATATATACAAAGCATTACATAATATTCTCCCAATAAAAAATACAATTTCATTTGGAAAGCCAACATAAAAGTGTTCTAATTAATTTATTTGAAACCAAACTAAAAATTCTGAGAAGGCTCTTATATTCAGCCTAAATCTGGTTAAAAATAATATCAAAAACTGCAACTATGAAACAGCTCAATGCAGAATTTATAGGACTATCTTGAATAAAAATAAAAGCCTTAAAAAGACTATCAATAAAACCAGTACTTCCTTCCATAACCTCAGACAACATGAGTGAACTTATTGTACTGTCCAAAGTTCAGTCTTGTAGCATTTATTAATTACGTCTGAAATACACCAGCTTTGTCAGCATGGAAACAATGCTGGGGATCTGTTTCATATTGGATGTGAAATCATCGTCTGTGCAAGAGGCATGTTCATAAGCCACAATCTGGTTAACAAATGTCATCATATGCATCAGGTCCATATCATGGCTGTGTTCTTTAAGTACTCTACATAAGGCTTGGATGAACCAAGAGCCATCTACATTATTGCGCCATGAGAAATGACCTGGAATTCAAGACAAACGATTTTACTTTGAGTGTACTAATTATTTTATATAGCTATTTTATAATATTATGTCAATCAAAATTGCTTCATTGTCCTTATTATGTCACACATAATTAACTATAGATGTTTTCAAAATTTAATGAATAGATGTTTTTGTCTTTTTATCCTCGTTATTTCACTTTAAGTCAAGTGTGCCTATTTAGTTGTTAGGTATCCCAAAGCCTCTGAGGAGAATCTAACAACTAACCTGGAACTGTAGAGTAGGCAATCATGATGTCAGCCTCCGAGGGAATCCTTACAACTGGTGCAGCATCGATTTCATCCATCCCTTCATCTGTTGCAGCATCTGTAACTTCAGCTCCATGGTCAAACTTTGTGCCCCTACAAGCCTGAAACCATTAAATTGGACAATAAGATAACCTGTGGGACAATTTATTCAATTGTTTAATAATATTAGTGTTATGTTAGCACAATTTGTGATTTATTAACATCATCATTCAGTATGGAACATTTATTTCATAGAGATTTATTTTCTTGAAACCATTTTAGTAGACGACTCATCTAGAGTTGCCGCGATGTGCCATAATGGTACATTGATATTTCGGAAATGTTTCAGGAGTGCATATTGATGCACATCCCTTGTGCATTGGCAAAAAGTCAGAGAAAAAGTTCACAAACTTTGCAATCATAAACGAAACAAAAATGCACTAAAATACTGAACAGAACATATAAGGACAATACTTAAGGTGACGGTGTGCGAAACAAATATAAAATTTTTGACAAGGTAAAACATTTTTATAGTGAAAGCATATCAAAGAACATTGGAAAATTAACTAAGGAGATCGATTTATCCCAAAAATAATTAACTCAACATACTCCAAGATGCCAGCAGGGTTGCCCTCTACTTACCTGAATGAAGAAAAGTTTGGGTTTTCCAGCAAGAGTCTGACACTCATCCCCCTTGAAGTGCCTCAAAAGACTCTCTATTGTAATAGTGCCATCTATACCATAGACACGCCCATCTCTCCCATGACTGAGTATAACACACACAAAGCAGTCGGCATCTGAGTGGTCTTCCTCTGCAGCTAATTAATCAGTGGAAAATAATTAGTTTAATTACGCTCTTTCACAAAAAGTTGAAAAAACTTTCGGAAACATCTTGAAATATCTTGAAACATGAAATATCTTAATTTTGAACTATTTATGTACCATGATATGTAAATAACCACATCAAATGTAAAATAGTGCTTTACATCAGAAGCCTATTATGTGAAGGAAAATGTAGTTAACTGTGAGAAAATATCTATAAATTTTCAGAAAGTGGAAGTGGAAATGAAAAGCCAATACGCTCTCTTTTCAATTAAATCAAGGTTTGCAATTACGTGATCCCTTCATTCATTGCCTCAAGTTAGTCAGATTGTGCTCTCGACTCAAAACGAAGCAAGTTTCTCTTACCATTTCGCAATGCAAACGACATCTTTGTTGTTGTTAAGTTGTGTAGAACGTCAACGTCAAACCCAAGATCTGTCAACCTAGCAGTTATAGCATCAGCATCAATATCTGTGCCTATAAGTAAAATAAATTAATACACATTTATTTTAACAATCTCGTAACAATACAATCATATACCACATGAAATCTGTTTTAACAAATGAAATAACAGTCTTATAACCTTTCTTCACTATCAACAATTCACTAATCAATGTTTTACTTCGAAATGGTTTTGTTATAAAGATATAATAATTTTACGTGTATTAAGAGTTTTGCTCATATTAGAATGATTTATCCAGTTAGCTTTCATGAACTTTGCTCATGCAAAAATAATTTTTTATTAAGTTAGATTACCATCTCTATCCATTTGTCCTGTCAACATTGCATCAAAGTTGCGATTGTTTATAATAAGGGCCTTTCCTCGTCTCTTGTGTGAGAAGTTATACTCTGAAAGCCCTGCAACTGGCTTTGTCATCAACACTGTCTCACGGCTAGAAAAGAAAAATGTGTTTTATTTTCATTGTTTAATTTTCTATAGAATACAGGGGTTGTTTTTCTGTTATTGCCCTTCATATTGATTATTGATTTATTATTTAGAACTACTGTACTCCTGGTAAATTTTGATTTTTCAAAACTGCAATTTCGCAGCTATTAAATTTCACGGATTTGAGTTGATGACATCGCACCGTCGACTCACTGCAACAGATTTTACGATTGCGATTTTACCAAGATCACGAACAAAGTGAAATTAAAAATGCACCTGAACAATACTGGGAGTACAGTGAGCTGAGTCAAGATATTTTATGCTGCTATATCTTATACACATTATTTGCTAATATTAAACCCATTTCAAAGGTACATGTATACATATTTGGGTCTGTATGTGACACTAGAGGGCTTTCGATATAAGTTATTTGGAATAAGGATGCAAACTTGTACTTGTACAAGTCTAGGTATAGCACTGGGGAGGAATTCTGGAAAGGAAGATTGTGTGCTTTCATCCTTCAAATAAAAACGAAATATTTGGCAAGTAGAGGGTGACCGGAAAATAAAGAAGACCATTGAAGTAGGCAATATCTCCTAAATTAGACACATGAAATTTTGCACATATCAGAAAGACAAATTGTATACCAAAACAATCACCAGACAATTGCTGACCTAAAGAAGGCAATCACTGCTAAATGTAATGCCATTACAAGAGCTGAATATGTAAGGGTATCTTGCCATATGAATCCAGTTCTGTCTTGGTCTCAATTGTGGCAAATTGGAGCATGTAATGTAAATGATCACAGCTAGCTACTGATCCACTTGACTGCATGGTTGTATTGAACCTTTCAGGAACAAACCATAGAACTGTTCTGATGTGTGCAAAATTTCATTGATGTCACTTGTCTAGTTTAGGAGATATTGCCTACTTCAATGGTCTCCTTTTTTCCGGCCACTCTGTATTTAGCTTGTGAGTTCCAGTTTGGAAATATGATTACAACTTAGAAATTAATCCTGCCATTCCTGGGATATTCACAAATCAAATCCCTCGATTTGGAAACAAGGAAAATTTTTCGAATAAAATATACTTTCCTGGTTTCTTTGAGACACCTTCCTCCTCAGTGGTGTTCACATCATTTAAAAGAAGAAGTTGCAGTATAAGTCCGAAAGCTCTCTTAATGTACATGTAGTTTTAATATTTTCCTACAAAATTATTTATTTATGAAAAAATAGATTCACTCACCCTCCTATGGGGTAGGCATCAGTACTGGTTGTTGTCATTGTTGCTTTATCTGTTTATTCTGAACAAGTAATTGTATTTAGTGGCTCCCTATTATCACCTTACAGTATTAACTCCCCACAACCTGAAATCAAATTGAATATATGTTTAAGTACAAAAGTTTATAATCTAAAGCAAAAACGAAAAGTTCGATTGATAGTTGACAAATGTAGTTAACCTTTTGTAAATGCAAATTCTTTATCTCAACTTCAACCCAAAAAGTCAGTTTAATTTGTTGTAGTTGTGCTGTACTTTAATATGAACCTGATAAGATCATAAATTGTACTTTATTTACCAAGTATTTTTTATCAGATGTATAAACGATGAAGTCCTGTTGGGTTGACGTGATATTTCCACTGAAATAACCCGATCATCAAGGCAATAACGAATTAAGCCATCATCTCAAGCATATATATCATATCATAACACACTCATTTCTTTTACATGCCAAATGTGATTAAGATTATGACCCAATTTATGAAATATCATAATCAATTATCAACAAATAAATGAAAATGTATCACTTGTTTGACAATACTCTACATTCAAAGCATGTACTTGAAAATCAAAATTTCATATTGCACATGATAAATTCCACATGTTTTACTGTAAAATGATGATTTTTTGTGTGACCTTTAATCCAGGACAACAGTGGTCATTAAACATGATGAATGTAAGCCTGGGGCTTATACATGTTATAAGAGATTATAATTACGATATTGATGTATCAAATAATACCTTTTCAGAATAATAGCTGGTGTTACATAAAAAATGTGTCAAATAAGCCAATGATGCTTGTTAAAATCTAAATATCATTTCAGTTCCAAATATAGGTACAAATAAAAAGATATTTGAGAAACACAATAGTCTAGATATATTTCATGCACCCCCCCCCCCACCACCCTCGCAATAAATAAAAAAAATTGGAAAAAATTAACAAATGATAGTTTGAAATGTATTTCAAAACATTTCTGGGGGTGAACCCCTCATACCCCCCTTTTTGGGGCTCCTTCGCTTGCAGTGATGCAAACCCAAATAATCGCACCCCCTTGATAATTGCTGGCTGCACCCTGCCTTTTGTTGGTTTTGGGTTCATCTTCATATGTTCTTTGAGAATTGAACTTGAAATTGCATGACTTGTTCTAATGATCAATCAGTATTAAACTGTTGATTGATTCACTTTATGAACACAAACATAAACTTCTATTTTGGAATGTTTGGAGAATTTTGGAATTTGATATTAGGCCTTTAACTAGTTTAAAAGTTGTGACTTGTGTTTTTACTGCACTGTTGAACTCCTCAAAATGAATTTGTGAATGGCTCCGTAAAATTGTATTATTTATGGTAAATTAAAGAATCAGCTTAAATCTCATAATCCTTAATACGTATATCATTACAGTGACCTTAAAAGAGTGTCTGGGGTCATAAAAACATTTTATAAAAAGCTTACTACATATTCTGGTATTTTGCCATTTTTGAACATCCCTTTCTCTAAGGACAAAATATTTACTTTTTTTATAATAGCTTTTGATTTGAAAATGGTAGATTCATTTTACTTCTAATAAGCAAAGTGATACACATATATATTGTATGCCCTAGAGGATACTTGAATCAAGTCTTAATTAAGATTTGCTATCTACTATCTGATTTGCTATCTACTATCTCAAATATTCAATCCGATTGATGATGGATGATGATAGATCATACAATACATTCTAGGCTTATTGATTTATAAAAGCCCATAAAGAAATGGTATTCAGTGTGGGGGAAATGGCATTGGGTGTGAGGGAAATGGAATTGGGTATGGGGGAAATGGTATTGGGTGTAGGCATGGGCTCTCTAGTAGGGGGAAATGGTATTTAATGTGGAGGAAATGGTATTGCGTGTAGGGGAAATAGTATTCAGGTGTGGGGGGGAAAAAGTATAGGGTATGGGTGAAATGGTATTATAAGAGGCAGAAATGGTACTGAGAATGAGAGAAATGGTATTGAATGTGGGAGAAATGGTATTGAGAGTAGGAGGAAATGGTATTGGGACTATACAGTAGTCTAGCTGGTACAAGGTAAAATAGTGATACTTGGACGCGACAAGGTAATATCTTCCTTATCAATCCATCTTTTTTCAACATCCAAAGCAGACATTTTCTTGATTTACGTTCTTTTAGAGAATTTCCATTTATAAATGATAATATTCCCAAATTAACATTCCATTAAAAAACCGAACCAATTTTCCACACCGATATTCAGATTTTCTTTAGTTACATTGATAAAACTGAAACACCTTATGTAAAAATCATTTGATTTGGAGGCTGAATCTGGGTTATTTCAACCATCTGGGCCTTGCCTATGATCTAGCCTAGAGTAATCTGATGGAGTAAATAAAGCACTAAGAACCAAATAATCATATGTAGATAATCTCTGATATTACAGGAACTAGTAGCACTATGATATGAGATGCTTATGCCAGATCTGAGTCAATATATCTATCTATAAATTTTTATAGATAGATACAGTCATAGGCTAAGGGTGATAGGTATAATTTTTAAATAAAGATGGCATGGTAATGGATCTGTGTTTATTTATAAATATTCTCTTCAGGTACTCAACGGGAGCAATTGCTATTGGCAAATCATGACTGTTTCCACAGTCTAAACTTGACTGAATATACAATAATAGCATGTAAAAAATATAAAACATAACACAAATATGATTTATCAAGCTTGAACGGTTATTCTGAAGATGTTAGCGCCACACCCTAAATATTTCCTGGTGAGAGCCCTGAGCAGTAAGTGGGCATAAATTGAAATTCAAAAACTACATCAACAACTCTTTGAGCACCTGAGAGAAATATATACTGGATTCTGTTGTTGCTGCCATCTTTATATCGGCCCAGAACCTATGGATACAGTATATATTGACTCATCATGATAAACCATGACATCTCAAATCTTCTCAGCCCTGAGATGCCATGATATAATGAGCTTGATTTGGCGATCCAGGAGAGCCCAAAATTGAGGATTTTTGAGATCTTTCATCCCAGCTCATATTTCATCTAATTGGGGTCATAAAACTCTTGTAACTGTGCCTGTTGTAATATCTGCTGTTTAAATACAATGCCTATTATGTAATGTATTGACATTAGGTTGATGATAACATGATAACAATCACACTTATTGACAGTTTTAACTCTTCCCATCTGATGTGCTCAGATCACAGAATATGCCTCATAATATCAGAGCATGTTTCAGGTGAAACAGAAAGATGCTATGAGTATCAGAATGATATTGACTCAGATTTCACGGGGAGTTAGTCACCCCCCCTCTCTATATAACAATATAATAAATGTACATCTTTATATTGTTATATAGGGAGGGGGGGTGACTAACTCCCCGTGTCAGATTTGGCATACTGTAAGCATCTCATAAAGTGCTACTAGTTCCCGTGATATCTGATAAGATCTAGCATGTTTTCAATTCAAGGCAAAAAAATAAAATTTAGGCCTAGCCTCTAACAAGCTTAGCTTATAGGAACACATGAACAGAAGCCCCCCCCCCTTACAAAATTATGCTATAGATCTAGACTATTCTAGGCCTATGGAGAACTTCCCATTAGCTGTAGCTATATGGTCAAAACATACCTGCTTACACCAATCTACGTAATCTTATTTTTTCAACAAAGGAATATGAGCAGAGCACTTGTAATTACCGATGATTCATAAAAATGACAACATAAACATCGAGTTTAAAAATAACCGGAAGCTTGATTTGTACGGCATTCTGGGTAAAAAGATTTAAATTGAAAATAAATTTGAAATGTTTTTTTTACTGATTTGTTTAAATAATCCGATAGTATAATATCATATTAAATTATTCACAGTTGAAAATATATGCTTTGTTTATTTTGAGAATAGCACAGGCTCGGCCACTACAACCATGGTAAGTTATTAGGCTTATAAGCTTGTATTACTCCATTATCGCCCACCCATTTTGATTTTAGGAGATTACTTTTGACTTTGAGATTTTATTCCCAGTTGTCTGCTCACTAAAGCTGTACGGTATTGTTATTGTCACGCCACTTGTTCAAGGTTATTCTTTCCAAACAACATTTTTGAAAAAATGCTATACTGTACATGTTATTTTCCTTGTAATGTCTTCTTTTTAGTAAACATGGTAAGTGATCAATGGTAACTCCAGGAAGTGCTGATGATATTTCAAGAAAAATCATTCAAAATGGCCACCTTTTCAACTTTCCTCTCCAAGTTTCTCAATAACACTAGATGCATTGACCACTTGTAATGACCCAAGGGCGCCCTAGTATGTATCCAACAGACCGAATATAATATTCGGTCTGTTTTGATTGATATATTTCCTGTGGAAATCGGGGTGATATTTTTTGCACATTAATTTCTCGTTTATTATAAGAATGTTCACCTTGAAAATTGGTGAATATGTTGAAGAGATGTTCATCTTAAACTAGAAGCAAAAATATTTGTATAAGGCGGGTACAAGTTGATATAAAATAATGAAATGTTCAGACTCACCGAAACTTCAGGATGTGTTCATAAGTAGATCGCGAAATCAATGTCAAGGACGTTTGAGTTCACGAGATCCAAACGAGATATGCAAATTTTGAACTTTGACAACACATGACCACTTGATTACCTCGGCCTTCTTCATGAATATTTCCGCTCTATTTACTATAAATGAAGAAAATTAATCGGGATAATGATAATAAATGACTAGATCTAATAAATTCCCGCACAAATGGAATTTAGCAATACGCTTCCGTAATGTTGCTCCCGCTCCACGTGTTATTTGTTTACAAATAGACTGACGTCACTGGCTAAATCTCGTTTATCGTGAGAATTGGCATTGCCAAAATGGCTTGACCTAATCAATGGCTTCGCTACAAGAAGCGTCTGTACATTTTATGAATATCTTCAGTAAGAGGACAATATACGAAAAAATAATATTGTGAGTTCTTTATAAGGTAATCATTCTATCATTAAACAAACTTATTTGTAACATTTATACAGCACCACATTTTACAATAGGTGACTTACAGTCTGAATATTTATTCAGACGAAGGATACAGTCTAAAGGGCGCCCCAGGGGAATGTCTAAATAATGAGCATAGTGTACAAGCCAGATAAAGAAATAGAAAGAAAGTGTGTTAAATTCAATGCCCCGTGCGGGAATCGAACCTAGGACCCTTGGACCCAAAGTCTGATGCTCTACCGACTGAGCTATAAAGACTAAAGCCACTACAGCTGGACTGTAGTTACTCCCGTCGAGAGCTACTTAGATTTTGAAAGTATAGCCACTGGGGGGTATCGTGATGCAACAACACCGTGTTGTTGCATCAAGATGGCCAGACTTCCGGTGATAGATTTTCGTACGATGTTTTGTTTTCCCAATTTACACCCATTTCTAGGACGAGTTGCTCATTAATCATACACATGCAGTTAGCACATGATCTATATTTAAAAAAACTGTCATTGGTATACACGTAGCATCATCAAGAAGCGATAAATTCGTGGTTTTAATTCCTCACTATTGATGCAACAACACCACTCTGTTTCTTATCGATGATGCAACAACACCAATGTGCTGATGCAAAAACGCCAATATAATGTATCATTGAACAACAAGAGAAACTGTTTTATGTTCTGTTTACAGGTGTAGGTCGGGACATGAATAAAACGCGTGAGTCAGTGGTCCATGAACGAAACGTATTTTGTTTGGTTTCTTTGTCATCAAAGTTAAAAGGATATACAAGGCAAACTAAATAAAGTACAGAATCCCCGGGAGGCAATCTCATTGATATTGTATCTGAAAAATAAAGATTATACATTTTCTAAATTAAATGCCCTTGATTTACTGTATGGAAATTGCTTACAAATAACTAATATAATTTTGAAAAGACAACAGATATCAGTCATTTTGTGTTATTAGTACCTCAATTGAAATACTCAATTCTGATTGGTTGATGAGCGGGCAACAAAATGTATTGTTAGTACCTCAACTGAAATACTCGATTCTGATTGGGTGATTAGCGGTCAAAATTATGTACTGTTGACCGCTACTAGGTACTGTTGACCGCTACTTCTGAAAAAAAGTTTCATGACGTCACAAAAAAACATGGAAGACGGACATTTTGTAAATGTTGAGGAAAATGACTTTACTAGGCGACAAGTATAGCAAAAATACAAATAGAAACTTAAAATTAACATTAATTCACTAACGAGTACGCCGTGATGTGCCAAATACAGAGTTAAGCTTCTTGCACTGTCTCCATATTTTCTAAAAAATATTGCTAACGTGGTTCGGAGAAAAGGTTGTGAAATGAAGCCATGCCGATTGATGATCGTCGTCTATGTATTATTAGTTTTCTCGGACTAACAAAACAATTGTAGACCTCTCCATTCGATCAACCGTCAAAATCATATACCTCGACTGTAAACCTTGAAACTACTGTTGACCTCGACCTTCGGTCTCTGTCAACAGTATTTTTTCGGTTTACAGTTTCGGTATACAATTTTGCCGGTTGGCCTCTGGGGAGGTCAACAATTGTAAACTGTTGACCACTACTAGGTACTGTTGACCCCTATTTTTGAAAAATTGTTTTTTTTAATGTTGAAATTTTTTTAATTTTGAAAAAATAAGTTGTGTAAAAAATTACAAGTATTCGACGGTTTGGGGATTTTTTGCTAAAATATGATACCTTTACTTATCAAATATGTTCACGTGATATTCGATTATATATTCGTCCAATTATTATATTATTTGGACTAACAGAACAATTGTTAACCTCTCTTTTCGGTCAACTGGCAAAAGTGTCCTCGACCTCTGGTCTTGATCAACAGTACTTTCAAGGTTTACAGTATCGGTATACAATTTTGCCAGTTGACCTCAAGAGGGGTCTACAATTGTATATTGTATATCCTTTGTTATCCCACCCAAAGTATGATGTCATATATCAAGTTGAAGAGTTGTATACGCTGCTCAGGAGTTTACGCTATCCAGGAGTTGTACATCGTTCTCAAGAGTTGTATAGGATGAGTGTTGGTTTAATGATATTGCAGTTATACAATGCTATTATATAAAAGTTATTTACTGAGAGGGATTCAATATTGGTTTTATTTCGAGAGACAATATGATATTTCCCGAGGGCCCGGGATATCTGGGATAACTGTACCCCTATCAATTTACCTTTTTGGGCCCTAAATCTTATCACTTTTGTTTACCTTTTTACTCAGTCGGAGAGAAGGAATCCAAAGAGAGCAATAATTCTACATGTGCGTCGTGCAAAATTTCCATTAAACGTGTAACTAAACGGCCTCTCTAATAAAGTCAATTAGACGTTTTTACACGTTGGCTCTCCAAATTGTAGGAAATAAAGAATCATGTCATATTATATCATAGATGAAGCAATCATCCCATCAACATAAGCTCACGAATGTCACAGTTAAACTGTTTTAGTTATAATTTGATAAACAGTGGTAACGTACATCTACTAGTTTATCACTGTTCCACAGAAGGATGACAGATAATATCATGATAATATCCAATAGCTCATCATGTTTACCGAGAACGAAATATATTTGTCCACCATTTTGAATGATACTAACTGGAGTCAGGGTCATCAAGCTATGGAACAGTGGTTTATGAAAATAGATTGGATTACTAAAGCTTGCCATGTTAAAGGCGATTTAACTATGTTATAGAATAACGTCCAGTACATTATAATATGTAAAAGTATACATTTTTGAAAATACATATAAAGATCTTCGCCCGCAGGACGTGTATTTTGAATGCCTTGAGAAGAACGCAAATATGGGTTGGCTAATTGGTAACGGTATTGCAATAGTAGCATTTAAAAATCTGTTCCTCTCGAGATGGTCTTCTGAAATTATGCTATTAATTGGTGTTGCTGCATCATGCTCAAATCTAGAGGAGTGTTGTTGCATCTTCGGTTTGGTGTTGTTGCATCAATAGTGAGGAACTAAAACCGTGAACTTATTGCTTCTTGGTGATGGTATATGTATACTAATGACAGTTTCTTTAAATATAGATCGTGCGCTAACTGTACGTGTATGGTTATTGAGCAACTCGTCCTAGAAATGGGTTTAATTGGGGAAACAAAATATCGTACGAAAATCTATCACCGGAAGTCTGGCCATCTTGATGCAACAACACGGTGTTGTTGCATCACGATACTCCCCAGTGATAGCTCTCTATCGCTAGGATCAACAGCTTAAGAATCCTGACTTCAAAGAAAATTTCAGGGAATTCAGCTGACTCATGTTGCACATTATATACCTGAAAATGTATCCTACATCGCCATCTTTCATTCAGCTCAACTATAGAACGTCTCACTGCCCTATGTATCGATCAGGACTTCATTTTATTGGTCGTGTCAAAAGTTTTGGCCAGGTATATTCAATATGGCGGCTTGACGTTTCCCAAGTTGCGCATGCGTCGATAGTATTTCCGTTTAACCGCCATATTGGAAATGGGTATCGAACAAAAAACTATTAGAACTCCTGATCGCCATAGAAGCACATCCGCGATCCTACATGCACGGGGAAAGTAGACACATATGAGACCATATGTAGGCTACAGTTTGAGACAAACAGCAAGCCGTTGACTGGCGCTGATCAAATTAAGATGTTACAATTCTTCAGCTGGGAGATCCTCACGATGGAGAGCTATACTTTCAAAATCTAACATGGTAGCTCTCGACGTGAGTAAGACTGTAGTAGCAAGTTCCTATCAAGGGTCGTTACACTATCTCCCCCTTTGAAAGGACCACGCCCTCTTGGTCAGCCCTACTTCCCTAGCAGTGACTACCACACACACACGGGTGCAAAGGATACAACCAATGCTCTGATCCCACATCTGACCAATGTAATGACCCAAGGGCGCCCCAGGAGAATGTCTAACTAACAAGCATAGTGTAACAAGCCAGATAAAGAAATAGAAAGAAAGTGTGCTAAATTCAATACCCCGTGTGAGAATCGAACCTAGGACCCTTGGACCCAAAGTCTGATGCTCTACCGACTGAACTATTAAGGCTTAAGCCACTACAGCTGGACTGTAGTAGCAACTTGCTATCAAGGGTCGTTACACACTTACTAGGTTTACTTAGAGAAGACATGATACTTTCCTGAAAAAACTACTTGGAAATACAAACATGCCTTCATACTTTATTTTGTATCAGAAAATAACATGGGCAAGTATAGTATTTTTCAAAAATGTTGTTTGGAATTAACCTTAAACAAGTGGCGCTAAATCTGTAAATTGAATTCTGTGATGTCATAAGATACTGTATTGGGCAACAGTGTTGTATTTAAAAATGCCTTATTGTAACTCATCAGGAAGAAAAGTGATTAAATGTGATGAAAATGATTTATGTTAATATAAGCATATTAGTCTAGTTCTGTCATATCTAACCATGACCTAAGGATTTAAAAGCATATTATAGGCAAAAATTACATTACGCTAAATTTGACCAGTTTGGCTTTTTTCAGTTACATGTAAAGTATAGTTTTAGCCAAAGTTTTAGCCAAAAAAATTATTGCTTGCATCATTGATAGAATTTTGCATCACTCCACTCCCTTAAAATCCTAGCTTTTTGCACCATTGACAGAAAAATTGCCCCATTGATTGAAAATATTTGCCTCATTGTACCCTCTTAAGAAATCCTTGCTACAGTAGGGAATACATGTATGATAGGTCATTATTACTCTTGTATTTAAAAAATGGCAATTTTCTTTTCAGATTTATACAAGAGTAGGACTTCCTCAAAATTTCAGACATTGTAGCAGATGTATGTCATCATTACATAGGCCAAGAAGTATTGTGACACTATCACAGATCCATCTGAGAACTTCACAAAACATATTAGATACTAAACCACAATATCAGCAAGCACAATGGATGCAACAAAGAACAAAATCAACAAACAGTGATTTTTGTTGGAATTATTTCTCAACTGAATGGGGACCAGTGCACTATGCTCATGAACTGTTGTTGTATGTACACACTACAACAGGGTTGCCATGGTGGGCGAGTATCGCCTTGACAACATTTGGACTCAGAACATTGGTTACAGTTCCTCTCCAGGCGCAGTCTATTAGTGTAATGGCAAAAATTAGCATCATCCAACCGGAGATCAAGAAGATTGCTGATAGGTTAAAATATGAGGTTGCTAAGGCAACAAAACAGTATGGTTGGTCTAAGAAGAAAGCCAGGAGGGAATATGTAATTCATGTAAGCAAACAGTTCATCATCCATTCTGAGCACTCAGATAATCATGAGAACATTATTTAAATGTATCATTCGGAAGCATTTGATATCAACAGCTCTACAGAACCAGTAATTAGGCATAGCGTAAAAGTAGAAATTCAGTCGGCTGGAGTGTATATAGCCTTGCCCAAGTCGGTCTCTTTTACTTATCTTGATTTCTATTATGACTGGTGGTAATAATTCAAGATCAGATAAGTAAAAAAATACCGACTTGGGCAAGGCTAAAGTGTATACTTTCCTATCAGATTCAGACAGAGAAAGTGTCATCCGCAATACTCTTTAAATTCACAAAAATAACATCCACGTAAACAGGTAATTTAAAAAGTACTTGAAAGACTTTTCAAATTATACATTTTCTAGTTTAACAATCATCAATTTGAATTTTTTATTTGCAGATCAAAAAAGAAATTAAGAAGCTGTATATAAGAGATAACTGCCACCCCATGAAAGCCACCCTGATAGTGTTCTTTCAGATTCCTTTGTGGATAAGCCTCTCATTTGCACTTAGAAACATGAGTGGGTTAATCCCATTTACCATGACCCGTAAGTCTTAGTTTTTATGTCATCGCCACAAGTGGTGACATATTGCAATAGTCTCCAACTTTTTTTGAGGCTGATGTCAGGTGACCTATGACAAATGGTAGGTGGTGACATTTTGCGTGTTAATGCCTTGTTATAAAATATAAAGTGGTTTCAACACTGATATTGATGCAATTCAGATGATTATTTGTATTCAAGCTTGCACAAGAAATACCCTTAGACACAGAGGGACCGTTACAGTTAATATGGTTTCATATATCATTTGTATTCCAGCCAGTCCCGCACTAGAAATGTCCCTAGCTACAGAGGGGTTGTTATGGTTTCCTAGTCTATTGGCCTGTGATACTACCTTGCTGCTACCTGTTCTACTTGGTGTTGTCAATCTAGCAATTGTAGAGGTACTATACTGATTAATATACACTTTACTGTAAACTACATACCTGTTGTGGTAGCACAGAAAACGACATTTCAAATATTCATAGTAATACTGTATGCTTCCATTTCATTTTCATATTTCATATTTTATCAGCAATTTATTTCATAGCAATGAAAATATTTAATGAACTGATCTTAATTATCTCCAGATGCACACACTGAGGCCAGCAAGCCAGAAGAGTTCAAAGATGGACAGGGCAGCTACCTGGTTCTTACGTGGAGTGAGCGTGCTTCTGGTTCCCATTGCAGCAACTATGCCTTCAGTAAGTGCACCACACTAGGAAGTTATGCAAAGCGTATATCACATGGGGGCATTACATCGTCATATGACAATTGCATGTTGCTTATGATAAAACAGAAACACATTTTTTAATTGAGTCTAAAACCTGGCTTATTAAATAAAAATAAATAATACATGTTTTCATTCAATGTTGCAAGTCTTCAATAAGGTTATTGCATTTCTCTTCCAGTGTATGGCATGGTACTGGTTGTGCTCTAGTTCATTTGGCCTTGCTCAGAATCTCCTTCTGAAATCACCAACATTCAAACGTGCAATAGGAGTCCCCCTCATACCAAATGAAAGCCTTACACCATACAGAGACATGGCCCTAGCAGCCAGGCAAAGGGTGGAATCAATAAAGAATAGACTTGGACAATCAAACCAATGATAGAATATTTATCCCACCGAACGAAGTTCGAGAGGGATATAGGAAAGCCGTCCGTCCGTCCGTCCGTCCGTCTGTTTGTCCGGGCAATAACTCAAATACCGTTTCACGGATTTGATTCAAATTTTATAGGCTTATGCCTTATGGGTGTAGGACCTCTGCTCGAGAAGGAATTTTCAATATGGCCACTGAATTCAAAATGGCCGCCATTTTTCGTAAAAAAATTTATCTTTAATAACTCAAATACTAGTTTGCGGATTTGGTTCAAATTTTACATGCTGATGTCTAGGGACAAAGGAGTTTCGCACAAAAAGAGATTTTCAAGATGGCCGCTTAATTTCAAAATGGCGGCCATTTTTCGTAAAAATATGTAATCTTTGATAACTCAAATACCAGTGAACGGATTTGGTTCAAATTTTATATGATGATGCTTAGGGACACAGTAGCTATGTGCGACAAAACATTTTCAAGATGGCCGCTTAATTTCAAAATGGCGGTAATTTTTCGTAAAAAACTTAATTTTTGATAACTCAAATACCAGTGAACAGATTTGGTTGAAATTTTATATGATTATGCCTAGGGACACAGTAGCTCTGTTCAAGAAATAATTTTCAAGATGGCGGCTGAATTTCAAGATGGCGGCTGAATTTCAAGATGGCGGCCCAAATTCCTTAAAAAAACGTAATCTTTGATAACTCATATACCCGTGAACAGATTTGGTTCAAATTTTATATGCTGATGCCTAGGGACATAGGAGTTTCGCACAAAAAGAGATTTTCAAGATGGCCGCTTAATTTCAAAGTGGCGGCCATTTTTCGTAAAAATATGTAATCTTTGATAACTCAAATACCAGTGAACGGATTTGGTTCAAATTTTATATGATGATTATTAGGGACACAGTAGCTATGTTCGACAAAACATTTTCAAGATGGCCGCTTAATTTCAAAATGGCGGAAATTTTTTGTAAAAAACGTAATCTTTGATAACTCAAATACCAGTGAACAGATTTGATTGACATTTTATATGATTATGCCTAGGGACACAGTAGCTCTGTTCAAGAAATGATTTTCAAGATGGCGGCTGAATTTCAAGATGGCGGCTGAATTTCAAGATGGCGGCCCATATTCGTAAAAAACGTAATCTTTGATAACTCATATACCAGTGAACAGATTTGGTTCAAATTTTATATGCTGATGCCTAGGGACAAAGGAGTTTCGCACAAAAAGAGATTTTCAAGATGGCCGCTTAATTTCAAAGTGGCGGCCATTTTTCGTAAAAATATGTAATCTTTGATAACTCAAATACCAGTGAACGGATTTGGTTCAAATTTTATATGATGATTATTAGGGACACAGTAGCTATGTTCGACAAAACATTTTCAAGATGGCCGCTTAATTTCAAAATGGCGGCAATTTTTCGTAAAAAACGTAATCTTTGATAACTCTGCCTAGTTCACAATGGTATAAACTAACTTTGTGCCAAATTTCATGCTTCTATATCAAAGTGCACAAACATTTCAACATTTACACTAGCTATAATAAGCATGATATGTTTTGTTCGGTGGGATTTGCTACTCCGTGGAGTTGCTGTTTTTCTAGTTTTATAATGATTGCTGCTGTTAGAAGATGTGATTCAGGAGTTGGGAATTGTGTGTCATGTGCGAACGATTTTATGAGTGACAATACAGATAACAAATAGTATTCAAGTGAAAAACATTAAGTCAAAGTAATCGTGAATATCTATAGTGAATTTTACATGCTTCATTTGGTTTGATCAATGAATAAAATCATGAAGAATACTTTGATTTCTCTGTGTTCAAAATTGCACCCACAACAGCTACTATGTAGATGTAACAGACTTTTGCAGAAAAACACTACCCTACCACGTGAACATGTTTAAAAGGGAAACAGGCTACAATGGAGTTGCAAATGGAGCAGGTATTTTCTTTTTCTGTAGGGCTTTTCTGGTAATAATACATGGGCAAACTGCTCGATGAATTTTTAGTGTATAGTAGAAACACTTGGAATATATGAAAAAATATGGAAATAAACACACATCCTCCATTTGCAACTTCAATACAGCCTGTATCCCTTTTAAAGAAATAGAGGCTACAGTATGGGGGTAGGGAAGTGTGACGCATGTGTTACAAATATTTACTTACAATGGGTCATGTATTAGTGTATTGTGTTTGGAAATATAACCCACTAGTCCTCCCTCAGTTACAAGAAAGGGCACCGGGAATAGGGATTTTGACTGACACCAGATTTTTTAAATATCAATTTTATTCCCTGTTTATTTCCCGGAGAAAACATGTTATTATGGAATAAATATGGTTATAGTTACCATATGAGAGAAATGGTCTGGGAAGTAATATACCTTTAACCAAACTTGGGAGTTTATTTCATGTATGTTTATCTAAAAATCCTCAAAAGGGACACTCATGGTCCTTCAGAGAAACCGAGAAATTAATTTTCCAAAGGGAAGTATGACGGAAAAATCAACACTAAAACCAATAAGTTTTCCAGTTTTACCTTTAGATTTTTTCAAACCCTGCTTTGAGACTACCTGTGGTTGGAGGGGTTGGTCTTTTCCAGGCGACCAAAATCTATCCAAGCAAATGTAGGATTTACTTATTTCTAATTTTGTACTACCTAATGACACCATAAATCAAGCCAATATCTGAACATATCATATTTCCACAATGATCTTAGAATGGGTTGTTCATTATTTATGTATGGCAGTTTTTTGGGAATTTTTTGTTTTTTGTTTCCAGAATGGCCATTTGGACTCTTGTAATAAGGAGGACATATGGTAGCATTTCCAGAATGATGATAACTTCAGTTAAAGTCATTCCAAGTGAAGCTGTTTCTTTAAAATCCACCCATATTGCGGTTGTTACAGCATTTATCTGTGGTTGTTTACAATCTTAACTTTATTAGTTTGCATGGCGAAACTTTTGGAATCCAGATTCAACTTAGTTTAGATGAAATCTTAGGTTTTGAAAATGAAAGAATTTTGGCAACCATCTTGAATGGTGCTAACTGCAGTTGGGAGTCATCCAGCTGTGGAACAGTAATTATCAGCACTGGTGAGTGGTGATTCACTCGATTACGCTGGTTACCGAAACTGTTTGTTTCAGTAACAAAATGTTGGAACCTCGAAGGTACAATTTTTCCTTATTTCACCCGTTATAGGCAAAATTCCCACGACATTTTTATCACAAATGTGTGACAAGGTTCCGACATTTTGTTACTGAAACAAACCGTTTCTGTAACAAGCGTAATCGAGTGGATCACCACAGTGACATGTCACTTGAGAGATTTCACCCTATGCTTTCACCAATAAACACTAATCCACAAAACACATTGACTAAAATTAGTTTTTAGTTTTTTTTCATTGTATTAGACTAATGGTAGACAAGATATTCCAAATAGCCAGAGTCCATTTGATAATAATGTTCTGTAAGATGATGAATCCACCAGTGGTCTGTAAATCCTCAGCAAGTGAAGTTGTAGGTTTACTGAAAATAAATAAAATAAAATAGCATTAATACATTATTACATTAAGAAATACTTTCATAACATTTAAAAGAAACAGCACTATTCAGTGGGCTAATATAGTGAAAATGCTTCTCAAAAATGAGGTGAAAGTAAGAGCTGGAATCGATGGTGTAAATTACAAAAATGGGCTGCCATAAAATGGATATGAGCATTATTAAGACAATTACTCAGATGCAAGTAGTTAGTTACCAGTTTCGCCACCAGGTGGCTGATTCGGGGGAAATATAATGGCAGGGTATTACAAAATTCCATTAAACTTGAATATTCATCAGTTTTAGTGGTTCACTTTTCACATTACCCTTATGTATGTGATAGTTATTATTATACAAATTAAAATATGTCCAGAGAAAGAAAATATTATCTGCCCAACACAAGAAAAGATATTTCACTTTTTGTGGTTTTACAACATGGGGTCTATGGGGAATCTCCCCGACATAGAAGTCACATTTTCAAAGAAAATTAAATTTTCAAAGTTGATAAACTCTTTTCAAAACCACATTTCTAGGTGTGATTTTACATGTAGATTCCAAATAAACCAAGATTATTTCTACTCGCATCTTGACTATTATGGCAGTTTTCATTTGGCTAACAATTTTTCATGGATGGACAGACAAACAGAAGGATGAGTGAGCCATTCCATAGGCTTACTATGAGAGCCAAAATCTAAACCTACCTGATCTTATGAACTACAAGCTGAAACATTTATTTTATTCACCAGCTTTGGAGTTTTAAAAAGAAGGATTTTGCTCAGATTTCAAGCAATGGACGTCCATAATTATAATTATCGAATCAGACAGTATTAACTATAAGGCATGTAGCTGCAATATTTGCGATAAAAAGTCATACTGGTGAAAGAAAAAATATTGTTTGTTTTAAACAGACAACATTAATCTTTATATGAAGGTGCTCTCCATTAATTTGTCAAACAGATAAAATACTGAAATAAATGTAGAACTAGAAATTGCAAATACTGTATTTGTCTTTAATTTGGCGCTACTTAATTTGGCAATTTTTGCAAAAATGGCTCGGCCATCTTGGTAGCTTTCTTATAACTGGAAGTGCTCTGAACAAAAAATGTGTTGAATTCCCAGGGATTTTGGCAACCATTCAATTTTGCGAGTTTGTTAATTCGCCAATTTAAAACGCTTGCCAAATTAAAAATCTATTGCTTATAAGGAGTAACTTATAATATTTGCCAGGGGATTTTATAGTGCTACATACAAGCCTGAGAAGACATAATATTATGTCAAATTAACTTTCAAGTCCAAGAGTGCATGTGTATTTTATGAACATATTCTTGAATGCTGTTTCTGGCTTGTATGCAGAACTACTTGTAAACACATAGAGCTGTTATGCATATGCAAATGCAGTCAAGTCATGCTGGTGGAAGCAAATATCTTTCAAATCACATCACTGTCACAAAAGCGCAAACAAGCCTGTAGATTCAAAAAGAGGAAGGAAATGTACCCCTCCTACATCATTCGCCACAGATTCTCAATATGATTGAAAGTTCAATCACAACAACATGAAATTCAGGATTGTCTTGAAACTTAATAACAATAATGTAAATAACATCCGTGGAAGAAGCACAAACACACAATATATGTAGTTAGCACATACAGCATACAGCAAAATCTAGTCTTAAGGTAGGCCAAGAAAACTAGTTTACATGGCCTACTTGGTCAAGTTCATGGAAAGCAAGTGAAAAAAAACAAATATGGCACATTCAAGCTGTCTATTACTACAACTAGTTCAACAAATACTGAACACTGGACATCTTACTCACCTTGACTTATTTCTGAAAACCATTGAAATGTCAATAGGTTACAATTCATAGATAAGTTAAAATAAGGGGTATGGCTAGGATAAATAAATTCACTGATTCTGAACATTACATCTTTTAGAATTAAAAAGGATGAAGGTTTTTTTGATGCAATACCAATGAGGCACTTGGGGATTTTTAGTACTAGCTCTTAATATGCTCTCACAAGACAAATAGACGTTTTTATGTTTTATTGTTAATGTGGGGCAGATGTAGAGGCATGCAAAGCAATTTCCCAATTTGTATGAGTTTTATAGAATGGGCAAAAAGTATTTTTATTTATGCGCTTTCAAGGATTCAATGGATTTCTAGACACTGGGGAAAATATTGTTGATGGGGTAGTAATCAGATTTAGAAAATTTATTTACACTAGCCAAAGTCACCATTACCATAGTTAGTTGTGATTAAAAATTATTTCAGTTCACCAATAAAGTATAATGAAATAAAATAATCTTATAAAAATAATAACAACTTTCATAGTTTCAATTTGCATTTCTTCTAGCTTTTTTCTGCAGTTTGAAAAAATAAAATAATTTGATCAACAACATGTAAAAGTTGTTCTTGAAATATATGTTTCTCTGTGGTATTCAACAGTAACAAGTAAACTATGTTCTGTTCCTTGCCACTAACCTTATAATTAAAAAACAACAACCATAAACCACCAATATATTATCACAAATGCAAAGTTACCTTCTTTCCAGCTCCGATCTTTGCCTTGGCTGTTCCTCTGACCTTCTTCTGTCTGTTTTTCCTTTCTTTCCTCTGCTTCCTTGAGACACCCTTCTTTTTCTCATATAGACCTTGCTGTAACAAAATGATTTTAAAATGTAATTTGTAGATATTTAAAAGTCAGTTCCGCTTTTTTACTTAGCAGAATTAAGTATAATGCATGCACTATTGCACTTCACTAATTGTTTAATAGAAGTTATTTAAAACAGATTGAAGCTTTATTCCTGGAATAAAATAATGCATCAATAATCGATCACATCTCAGAGAGTAGGTTATCATCCATGATATTCAGCCGGCAATTCCTATCAAGAATATTGGTTCATCATAAATGTGAAATCAGATGCATAGATTGTGATTAAATTAAACCAGAATAAAGAATGCAAATAAAACTTACACGAGCAAGTCTGTAGTTAGGTTCAAACTTCTTGGCATTCTCTAAACTGTCGTAGATCAGACCAAATCCAGTAGTTTTACCACCACCGAACTGGGTACGGAATCCAAAGCAGAAGATGACATCTGGGGTAGTTTTGTACATCTTGGCTAGCTTCTCCCTGATTTCTGTCTTGGGGACAGTTGCCCTACCAGGGTGCAGAACATCAACGATCTATAACATCAATAGCAGATTTAAATCTATGAATTAGCCTGTTATTAACCCTACAGCATAAAAACACATAAATTAGACTGCAAAATCAATGATCTTCATATTTTATCCTATTAGCAATTCTTATCATTAGAATACTGTTTCGTCATGAATGTCACGTCAAATGCAACAACTGGTATACTTCACATAATAGACAAAACTAATTCCTTCATTCAGGATTTATCAGATCTAGTTTGCATTTAATGATATCATAGTGAATTACATGAACATACCATCTGCTTCCTCGCCAACAGGCGGTTAGTCAGGAACTTACGAGTTCTGATTGTTGCGGTTTCCGACTGGAAAGTAAATAAAAAATAAAAATACAGTACAGTTTATTCTAATTTTTTACAGCAATCTTAGTCTTATAAAATACGATCATAAATTAATGTAGATACAAATTATCTGGAGTTAAGTGTAGAAAGTACAGATTCGAGGGGAATGTTCTCACTGTTCTGGGTCAAAAAAAAGTTCCAAAAATCATGAGCAATATTTAGTTTCCAAATGATGTTATTGGAGTTCTCTGCATCTAAACTCTTTTCAAATGTCATATCATTGAAGCGGGGATATTAATCTAAAGTTAACAAATCATAATATTGTGTCATGAGCTCTTAAAAGAGAGGATTTCAACCGATACTGATAGAAACTTCACATTACCATTTTTCAATTTTGGGCAACCATTAAAGAGGACGAGATCTCGTGCACCTTGCGAGAACTATTTGATGAACCAATAGGAATTGCACAAATACTTCAGTCCGTAAAGAGAAATACCTAGCAGCAAAAAATGCCAGCAGTTTTGCGTGCAAAATGCATAATTGCAGGTAAGATATTTAGTAAATAGCTCAGATGATTCCCTAGATGTGTCGCCTGTTAGTAAGTTTGAGGTCAAAACTATTTGATTTCAAAAAATTAATGTGTATAATGCGGTAAACTTTATGCCTGCATGTTGTGAAAATGTTGAAAAAGTCAATAATTTTTCATGATTTTCAGATTTCATTCATTCATAGGTCTACCTTACTGAACACAGCTGGCTCAAAAGACTTCTGTAAACTCGGTAGAGTATGGTCTACCCGATCTACATTGTAGTCCAAATCCATTGTATTCAGAATTGAGTAGCTGGTAACACAAGTCAATTGGAAAATTAACCTCAACATAAATGTCGGTCTTATATTTCAAATACATCTTATACTTACATCTGATATTATCTTTTATCAAACATATGCAGTATTTATCGTAGAGTAGATTGAATTATAGCTGGCGTGGAAAATTTCAATTGACAATTCTCTGCTAGATTACGCTCTGATCCATATATTACGATCCATTAATTGGTCAATGCGATGTGCACCGAAAGAAATAACTTTTGTTTCAATTACGGTGGCACCCCACATTTTTAACATGGAAATGGGAGGGGTTATTTATCATATTTATTTATCTTGGAGGCACAACATCGTAAACAAATGGCGGGATAAGTTTAAATGATTGAAGATGTAAGTATTTTTGATCTTTTCACAGCTAAATGGCTGTCTATTCTTCAAGAAAATCATGAGGAGGGATACTTTACCTGCTTATTTCGAGTCTTTAACCTTCATGAACCTTTAATTTTTCACATTTTTCTGAATAAACACACTCTAAAATGTGGTTTTGTAAGATATCAATCTCTGGTTTTCTCCGCTTTTTAAGAAAATTGCCACTCAAATTGGAGTAAATTTCTGTTTTGATGACGTCATTTTAATGCGTTTTAGACACCAATTGCGATAGTTGCATTACAAAATGCGCAAGCATTTTGTGCAGTTACACTTTTGCCTGATATATTCAGGATTTAAATTAAAGGAGCTGTGCAGATAAATCACATTTTTAAGATTAATCATTTTATATTATTTTTATACTTCCTTGTCGGCCATATTGTTTTTAAGGTAACCAATCAAATCAAAGGATTCAAGAAATTGCCGGATATGAAATTTACTATCGACTTTTGGTAGTGTGGAGTTGTACAATTTCTTTTAGTTAAGAGGATGATGGTTAACCAGGAAATGCTGATATTTAATGCTTTTTTGATTAATATACAGGAACCTGTTTCAAGTGATGGCTATTGAAATCGGAAAGAATAGATAAGCTTTTATCCTCCCTTTATTATAGTAGAAGAGCTCCTCGTCTAAAACAGAAATCTATCAACCCATTTTTAAAAGTTAAAAAAATTGTTATTTATCTTTGCTCGCGGGCCTTCATATTCTACCATTTGTTGAACGAAAAGCTGAGCACTAAATTTAACTTTTTCAACAGGTAACTTTGGCCATCCACTTTATGTTACCCATTGAAAAAGTTCAATTTAGAGCTCTCTTTGTCCCTATATTGTTTTTATCAGATATTCCACACTCACATATGTAGAGGTTATTTTTTAATACAAATCTCGATCAATCAGCATTTGAAAATATAAAAATATTGAGATCTGCCTGAGTACTTTTATGACTAATTTTAAACAGGAAGTTAATGTAAGAAAAGATATTTCACTTTTTATTGTGATTTTGTAACATGGGGTCTATGGGGAATCTTCCCGACCTAGAGGTCATAAGATTAAATTTTCAAAATTGGTAAATACTTTTTTAAACCACAGCCATCAAAATATCATAATCCATTGATAGCGAATGGAATTTAATGCTTATTCCTATTCCATGGATATGTTTTCAACAAAAGGGGAGAATATGAAGCCTCACAGGCAAAGATAAATAAGGGTTATGTACTGGGAGGTTTTGGATATGAGGTTTATCCAGAGGGAGATATGCATATCTACCTGAGGGACCGTAGGGACCGAAGGTAGATGTGCATATCTCACGAGGGATGAACCCAATATCCAAATCGACCGTACATAACTGTTTTATCCTATACCAAGTAGAGTTTTCGGGGGCATATGGCCATTTCAATAGTACAAGGTGTAAAAATAAACAAATCATTCATATGCAAAGTCATTTTATTGCATTTCCACTACTTACTGGAAGCGGGAAGATATGCACCGAAGCGGGAAGATATGCACCGAAGCGGGAGATATGCACCGAAGCGGGAGATATGGAGGTTCTGGATATGGAAACCTCATAATCAGGATACGGGATATATCTTACCAACTTATCTCCCTAAAACTCTACTTGGCATAGGATAAATAACAATTCTGTAACTTTTATAAATTAGTTGGTGGATTTCCGGTCTGGACGACAAACTCCTTCTACAATTATAAAAGAATAAATGGAGATAAAAAGCTTATTTATTATTCTATAAAGGTTTCAGTAGCCATCGGTTGATACAGGTTCCTGTGGATTAATGGTAATGAAAACACAGAAATAGATCCTGCGCTTAGGGCTGATATGAAAAAGTCAGTCCATCCTAATGGGGATTGAACATGTCTTTCTGGGCGATTAAAAAATACCTGTTTCCAGGTTTACTAAAAGAAGACAATGTAATTAAACTTTCCTGAAAAAGCTAGGAAACACACAAATGCCTTCATACTATATTTGTACCAGACAATAACATGTTCACATTGTGCAGGTATAGCAATTTCTTCCAAAATACTTTCATTCTACCAGTACATGTACCTAAATACATGCGCAATCTTGTTAAATATATAATTTCAGGTGATTCTGCAGTTGGCAAAAGTGCATTAACACAAGTATTTCACAGTGATGGGGCACATTATCCTAAGAACTATGCGATGGTAGGCAAACTTTAATCGTGGAATTACATGTGGCTCATGTCAAACACAATTACTTCTCGGGGAAGGCTACAGGTTACTTGCTCATAGGAGTCCTATACCCAAAAATTCAAAATTATACTCTACTAATACTGATATTTGTAAAATGACATGTATACTGTATTTGATAAAATATGGTTAAAATAATGGTTGTAAATGTCAAGCCTGTAGCCAGCTTTTGCGCAAGGTGTTCAATTTTTTTTAAATTCCAGGGGGATCTGAATTTGACCATTTTGACCCAATGAAAAGGGTTAAAAATAGTGGAAAAAACTGCATGCTTTGAAAGCATTTCTGGCTCCCCCACCCTGGCTATGAGCCTGAATGTGGATCCTCCTTTCATTACCTTCAATTGCTCCATGATAGTTGCATAACATAAGCTATAACCTGCATTAATTATAATTATACAGGTTCCAATTTCAGAATATCTCAAGGGAAAGACTTTTTGAGGCATTTTTTAGAAAAAGCAACAGACCTATTTTTTCTGGATCAGTTTTTCATGCTGATAAAGATATTAAAAGATGACAGCTCAACGGGGTGGTCACGACACTGCATTTTAGCATTTTTACCCCCCCTAGGAAATTATCTTAGGGGGTACTATAATATTAGTTCATAACTCAAAGGATATATAAACTATTGTTCTGAGTTCTACAGCATACATTGCTAGTACAGAGATGAATACTATCCTAAAGTTATAGGTTGATATCTTTGTTGGTTTCGGAAAAATACAATTAATTAGAAAAAATATGCAATTTTTGTCATTTTTTCTTGCTTATTTTATATTTGTAGCTTCAAGCAAAATATGATAACTTTAACAGCTCAAAATAGTATTCTAACAACATTCCTAAGCTATGTTTGATATTGTAATACATCTATCATAGTGATGAAGTACTATTTTGTAATTTTAATATGACTTTATAATGCCCTACCCCTGGTAAATAGAAGACAGTTGGTGTGGTTTTCTTCTGGTTTTAACATTTTATTGACTTCTTAGTTGAAGATACAATCAATTCTGTCAGTTAACCATGAGTAGCTTTACAATGGTTAACTATTCCCATCATGAATAGAGGGTTGGGACCTCAAAAATACCAGAACTGTTAAGTGGCATCCTTGGGCATCCCTCTTCAGAGCATTTTCCTTATACTCCGATGAAATCTACAGGGGATACTATAAGAAACCTATATATCTAAGATACTAATGAAGATACTGAATTCAAATTTTCAGGATTTGGTCCTGGTATGATAGGTAATCTGTATGACAAAAATGACAAAAAGAAAAACTCTGTTGCCATAGTAACAAGAATACCACACTACTATATTTGTTTCCCAAGAAATGTGTTTTAAGAGGTTTTGTCATTCTCTTCATATTTTTAATTCTAAATATGTCTACAATGTGGGATGATTAGAATTATGGTAAAGTAATCTTTTCTATTGTTTTATTGTTCTCTAAAACAGAAGTTGCTAAGGCACATAGATATATAGATCATAGAAAAAATGCTGGGATGATCGCTCTATTTGTCAGGAAATTAAAATGGAAACTGAAAAATGAGTTTCTTCCCACTGAATAGCAATTAATTTGGTAGACCATGGCTGACACTCACAAGAGAAAACGTTTATCAGTTCTACGTCATTGTGTTGTTATTTTTTATTTATCGTGGTCTGGGACTTATAACACCTAATGCCGAGTCTTCTCCAACTGCAAAGGAAGGCAAGATTTTAATAATGAACATTCATATATCTCAACAAATATGGCCTAAGACAATGATGAAGAAACTCTGAGGGAAAATTAGACAAAACATTAATGTTAGTGGTCCAAAAACATGTCTTGGAAAAGTTGTGCTCTCGGGTGAATCGGTGCTCATTTAAGGTTAGTCTGAATCAGGTGAATTTTTTAACTTAATTGTACCCCTCCCCCAAAACCCCCAAATTTTGACGAAATTGTCGAAAAGTGGCAAACAACATTCATTAAAGTTCAATATGGCTATTTCGCTTCTATGTCATAAAGATATGATATGATATGATCTCAGATCAATCAATAAATTTCACAAGTGACACTCTATCTTATGAAGAAAATACTATCGTATATTTGAAGACATGTCAAAAATTTGGTGGAAATAAATTGTGTCACTCCTGATTTGACCTGCAAATGTTCAGGTAAGTTATCACAAACAATTTCAGACAGTTATATCTTTGATTATGACTATTTCCTGACCATGAAGACAGGTATACAGGGATAATAAAGTCAATCAGACTCGGAGATATTTCACTAGCAATCAACCCATCAATATATTTTTTCAAAGTTGTTGACCTCATTTTCACCAAAAATGCAATCATTTTAACAATGCTTAATGCATTACTATTCTTTATTTTAATATATCAAATAGCTCTTGAAACGAAAACTGAATTCCCCTAAGATTAGTGTTCCCCATGTTATTTCCCCTTTGAAAAAATTCATGCTATCCATTGGTTTCAGTTCATTTTGGTCATCCAAATTCAGTGTCTTTAAAGTCCCTGGAGCAATCCACTTTTCCTCTTAGGAAATAGAACATGTCTCAAAGCATATTCTAATTATGCATTCAACAATATAATTAAAGGTTGCATCTTTGGTAAAAACTAGGTCATCATTTTTAGTAAAAAGTATGTTGATTGGGCCATTCCCTTTAATATCACTTAGGTCTGATTAATCATTATATTTACTTTTCTTGAAGATAATGAATAGATCTAAAAGATATACCTATGTTCATGGTCAGAAGATATTCATAATTCAAGTTAGAATTGACCTTTTTCCATATAAATGAAAAAAAAATAGATGGCATCATGGGTATTGGTAGAGCTTGGGTAGGGCTAGAATACATGTAAATGTATTGCCAGAGTCACTTAATTTCTTGATTTAAGAAGTAATTCCATTTGGATCAACTTAAAACATCATTGGAATGTAACTTTATGATCTTATTGACATGTGGATTGTGATTTCACATTAAAATTGTGATCCTTGGAAGAGTAAATGAACTTTTTAAGGTTTTTCAGCATTGTGTCAATGGGGATTTAGCCCGACCTTTATTAGACAACCAGTAAATCATTAGAATTTGAATAATGGTAAATTACAGTGCAAATCAAAGTTGTTTTGATAGAGAATTACTCACAGAATTCAAATATGCCATCAGATGGAAGAAAACATTAGTTTTTAATGGTTAAAAATGCAGATCTCCTAAAATCTCATTAAAAACAAGACCTTAACGAGATTTCAAAGCTATATGGAAAAAGGACCATTGTCTGAAGTTGTTTGCGATAACCTACATGCTCCTTTATAACATTATTATGTAAATACTATCAAATGCTTTAGTCATGACAGTTAAAGTAAACTGAAGTCTTGGTATTTAAATGCAGAATCAGATCTATGTAGAGTAAACAAAATTGAAAGCAACATGTACAGTTGACAGTACAGTGTGATGCAACATCGGTGGGAAAGTCATCTTTGGTTAATAAAAAAGATTCTTAGCTACTTTTCTAACATCTGGCTGTGATGCATCATGGCTTAATGAGGACTCTGCTATATGGTCAGATGACGGAACTTTTGCCATGTTTTGCACATTGTAAATGACCCTTCTAAATGCCAATGGGTTGTAAAGGTATTTACCAGGAGGTATATATGGCTCAAATGACTCGTGCCCTAGTACATGGGGCACTGTAGTACATTACTTGTGCATGATGACCACCATAGTCTAGCTGCTCAAATGAGATCAATTGATGATTATAATGTTAAGACTTTATGTCAATGTCCTCTCTAGTATGTGATTACACTAGATTTCATTATGATACATGTACTAAATTGAAAACTTACATATAAAATATCTTAAGTCCTATATTCTAGTAATAAATGAATTAGAATGTCACCTAACATTTGATGATGGTATGAATTTATTGATTTGGTGTCTATCAATACATGTTTCCAACTTAATGCTGCAAAATGATTAAATTCACCACATCCACTTTCTTCAATTTTCCAGGGGTAGGGCACTATAAAGTCATATTAAAATTACAAAATAGTACTTCATAACTAAAATAGATGTATTACAATACCCCATATAGCCTGGAAATGTTTTTAGAATACTACTATGAGCTGTTAAAGCTGTCATATTTTGCTTGAAGCTACAAATATAAAATTGGCAAGACAAAAATTGTGTATCTTTTTCCTGTTTATTGTATTTTTTCTGAGACCAATAAGGGTATCAACCTATAACTTTAGGATAGTATTCACATTTGTACTAGCAATGTATGGTGTACAACTCAGAACAATAGCTCATATATCCTTTGAGTTATGAACTAGTTTCATAGTACCCCCTAGAATATTTTCCTAGGGGGGTAAACATGCCAAAATTCAGTGTCGTGACCACCCCGTTGAGCTGTCATCTTTTAATATCTTTATCAGCATGACAAACTGATCGAATAAAAATAGGTCTGTTGCTTTTTCTAAAAAATGCCTCAAAAACTTGAATTATTAGAATTGGAACCTGTCTAACTGCTTCATTATTTCACCATTTTATTTTTAATTTGAGATACTTCATCCAACATGAAAGGACTACTAATATTTTTTGTTTTCAGACAGTTGGTGTTGAGTTATGTGTCAAAAGTGTTACCATTCCAGATACTTCAGACACTGTGGTAAGTAATCAATCATATCTTGTATTGCCATACCCTCAAATAATTCATTGTCTTTTGGGAATTTGCATGATAATTAAATGGTTCAAACTTATAACTTTAAGTATTTCCGAACTTATGAATTTCTATAGGAACAGCCCCAGCATGGCATTTGATTATTAGTTTTTAAGTTAATATTTCCAGTTTTGTGATTTGCTTCAAATGTTGCCCATTGTACTTTCTCATTATACTTGAGACTATAAATGTCTCCTTGCTGTTCTCCATCATTCATCCTTTGTTTCAGGAACTATTCCTTCATGACTCAGCTGGTAAAGAAACATTCTCAGATCTCGTTCAAAAACATGTAAGTATGATAACTGCATTATATTGAATGTCAAAAAGTGATGAGGCAAGTATTTCCAAACCTGTTAAAAAAGCTATGAGGCAAGCGCCTCATGTGCCTCAACCTGGCTATGTTAATCAAGCTTATGTGACTCAATCATGGAAAATCATCTTGTGAGAAACATTTCCATCATTCAGATTTCAAAATCAAAGTTATACAATTAATTTACAATCATGTCATTGATCTAGGAATATTTCTCAAAGGATGTTCCTAAAGTGACGAGGCAAGCGCTTGCTTTGTCTGCCTCATACTGGCTACACTGGAGCATTAGACCAGCGGCATTATTTTGACTTCACAGTTTCAACAGTATCACCTTGACTTATATAATGATCATGATAGTACATGATCTTGACATGATATTAACCTCTTGAATCCCAGGCTCTAAAATTGGTTGAAACCAGAGAATTTTTCATTTGTGGCACCTTTTGATTTTCTTACTACATACCTATACAACTTTAGTTGCTCAACTTAGTAAAATTAGGTTGCAGACATTTCTACACATTTTAAAACAATTTTTGTGTAAATTGGATAAAAATTGTTCAAACGAGAGCAATTTTAGTGAAAACTTTTGTGACAGATTTTCTCGTCACTCTGGGTTTCAAGGTCATTTCTGAGATGACGAGAAATCTTGTCACTCCAGGTAGTCAAGAGGTTAGCAAAAGTGATCTCCCCTGTTTTTCTAAACAGGTTTTACTTGTTTTGGTCATACTCGTTATTCCAAATATTTCATCATTTAGGCAGAGTTGACAGTCTTTCTGTCATATTGACCTGTAAATAAACGTTGTATATTTAGCTTATATAGCTCCAAAAATGTGACACACGCTTGAAGGACACCTCAGGATAGTATGCTGCTATCCTACAGCCTGCATGTTCTACTATGTTCTACAGCGTCAGGCTGCATGTCCTACAGCCTGCATGTCCTAAAGCCTGCATGTTCTTCGACTTCTTGACTAGCTCCAACCCATCTGTCATCAGTTCCATCATACCAAGTTTGGTAAATTCAAGGACGTCCTTGGTTAATTCAAGGAGGGCCACAGAGCTTAATGGCAAATTAGATAATACAATTTAATCTTCATGGTCTTATATTATAGTGGAGCCAGCCCTCAGTGATAATGATAGTCTATGATGTGACAAGTGAAACAAGTTTCTCAAGCTGCGCTAAGTGGTTGGAGAGAGTGAAATCTCAGAAACCTGAAGTTTCTACCCCAGGTGTGTATGATAATGATGGTATTCTTTATTGAAGATAGTGAGTGGAGAATTTGTAAAATTCTGGAAGAAATCTTTTATATATTTTGGATACTTGCTCTCAATTTGCCTCTATCCCTCCTAGTCCTTTTAAAATAAAAGAGCGAAACACACAATGTTGTACTGTACTTCATCTTAATTTGGTGGCTGTTTTAATTTGGCGGAGACACAAAATTGTTAAAGTCAGCCAAATTAAGTGGCCGTCAAATCCATTATTTCATATTTCAATCATAAATATGAATGGCATATACATTTCAATATTGCAAGTCTGCCAAATTAAGCAGCCACCATGTTCGAAACAGTAAATCCGCAAAAATAAGTAGAGCCAATTTAAGTAGAAGTATACTATTCCCAAATTTTTGTGAACAAATGGAACTATCTTAAAATGAGTCCAGTGCTTTTAGTTATACATGGACCTGTTTTTCTGTAGGTGTGCTAGTTGCAGCGAAGAAAGATCTTGATGCTCGTAGAGCGGTTAGTCCAAAGGCTGGGCAAGAATTTGCAATGTCAAATGGTCTGGAATACTTTGAAGTCTCAGCAGTGAGTTATCTTTTTTATAGCTTGCAACATTGTATTTTTCGCTAATGTATATGAACATTCAAATTGTGATCATGCTTCATTCTTTGCTAGGCATTTCATACTATTTTTGGATCAATTTGTTTTGTAATTGAACTGTATTATTCATGTATTTGTACATATGTTAAAAGTTAAATTGAAAAACAAACTTTTATGGTCATTCTTCCTACAGTACATGTACTGATTCTGAATTAGGCTATTCTACTTAAAACTACAGGAATTTATACTAAATTAGATACATGTATTGTAATTTGGTTTTGATTGAATTAAATTTCAGAAAATCGTTTTCAGAATATTTGCAACTATTTTTGTACTTTTAATCCCTTGAAATAGAATAACACGGTAAATTGATTATTGATAAAATGAGCAATCTATACAGGATTGGGGAATCACCGAATTAAAGCATCGCCAGTTCAGTATTCATTCTGGGATTGCCCTAACAATACATGAAGTTGTTTCCTTATTTTCAGAAAGAAGGAGAAAATGTAGAAGCACCTTTCTACTATCTGGCTAATGAATTCCACAAACTTTACAATGAAAAACTGGACACATTTCAAACCTTGTCATGATGAAGAATCAAAGAAATGACATAGAAGGCAAAAATACTGTGAATGAGTTTATCCCCAAAATACATTCTGGCACAGAAGTGCTGGATATTGAAGAAAAACTGTTTTGAGCTCGGAAGTCTAGCTACAAGCCCCTTTAATCCCCTCTACTTGACAACATGCCTTTTCACCCAGGCTTGTTGGGATGAGTAGTGGGGGGTCACAAGAGTTTGAGTTTGGTTAAATTTTGGACAAAAATCTATTTGTTCTCATTCATTGGACTTCTAGGAAAGGACTATGCTGTATCTACATAAAGAACAGTTGATTAGAATTAATTTAAATATAATTTTTGGCCGGTTGGTCAGAAAACATCCCGTTCAAGAGTGAAAAAGTTCCTTCTTGTCTTTTCTAGTGGTACATGTATATTCAAGATAAATGTAGCTGGATCATTTGGACGCTACTCCTTAGATGTAATTAAAGGCAATATGAGCTAAAGAATTTGTATATAAATTTATTTTCAATGATGTGCATGTATGTAAGTAAGTAATTTCACTAGAAAATGAAATATGTTGTTTTGTTGTCTCTCGATCTTACAGGTCCAAAAGTGACAAAAATAATATTTTGTTCATTTTGAATTGAAAGGGCTGGACCCTTTGACCAACTAACCTCCCCCTACAATGGACTTGCATGATGCCAACATAAATCAGATAATTAGTGCATTACCTGTCTTTGATTATGGGACATATAGAGTATGTTGTCATTTGTAATCTTGCATCTACAATAACATGTTTTGTTCCATTGTAACAAGAATGTAAACATGATTTTTGTGTGCAAATGTTATTTATTGCTAAGAAACTTTATTTCATCTTATTCATATTTGAATTGTGCAACAATTTAACAATTGTAAATAAATATAAAATGATTATAATAAAATATGTGATGTATATTATAAGGTTTATTTGTTATTAATTGCTCTTGTTTGAGGTTGATTGTCTGAAGCTTTCTTGTATTAGCTAATACACACTACCCTTCCCCAATTCTGTAGCCTGTATTCCTTTAAAATCTATACAGGCTGCAGTGAAGTTGCAAATGGAGGATGCTTAATTATTTCCATATTTTTGAAGGTAAACTAGATTTTACATAATTCCTAGTGTTCTACTATACATTTTACAGATTCATGTACAAACTCTCCAAACAAAGATAGGAAATACCAGCTCAACTTGCAACTTCACGTGGCCACATGGAAAGGTAGTGCAAATCCGTGAGAATACATGCTGTTTATAAAAATATATATGTAGTTGTAAACCTTGGTAAATTACCTTGAAATTTACAATTTGAAACATGCCACAGATCAGAGAAATATGTAAATCATTGTAAAGTTACGATATCCTTGTTTTTGGCATCAAGTGTGGTTAAATATCAACATGTAAGTTGTTGTGATGGAATTTCACGAAGGAGGGATTTCAAGAAGTTTCATAATAGAGAAGACATCACATTGACGCAAGGTCCAAATTAATATGTTAGTTTACTCATTTCACTTTGCCTTATTGGCTATATGAATACAATACTCAGAATGTTTTGAATGGAATCAATGTTCAATGAGTTGTTCTAAGGTGGTCTGTAACTTGCAAGATTTTACGTCTTGAGTCAGCCATTTTGAGTTCTTAGTTAATCCATGCTTAGTCCCCCGTTGACATCTAAACATGCTCCAGTGATGTAACTGCTGTTCTCAGAAGCCAGGAATAGACAGGCATGGGCAACCTCCTCTGGTCTACCAGCCCGCTGTAGAGGAACAGACTTCAATACAAAATTAACAACTTTCTCTGGTACAACTGCCGTCATTGGTGTCTCAATGAAACCAGGAGCGACAGCATTACAACGGATTCCAAACTTAGATAACTCCCTAGCTGCTGTTTTCGTGATTCCTAAAACCCCAGCTTTTGCTGCAGCATAGTTGACTTGTCCCATTGCACCTTGTTTGCCGATGATGCTCGAAATATTCACGATGGATCCATTCTTGATTTGGTCTTCTACCATAAGTTTACTGACTGCCTGATTAATGAGGTATGTGCCTTTAAGGTTTATGGCGATGACTTCATCAAATGCTTCCTCAGTCATTGATAAAAGCCAGTTATCTCTGGTGATACCTGCACTGTTGATTCCTATACATGGAGTTTGACTAAATTTAGATTTCACATCCACAAGGGCTTGAGCAATTGATGCAGCATTTGACACATCGACTTCATGTACAGATATATTATCATTGCCTTCTAATAAGTTGGCTGTATCTTCAGCAGCATTTTTGTTTATGTCAACGATGGCTACTTTAGCGCCTTCTTTGAGAAATGATTGACAGATGGCACGTCCAATGCCGCTACCTCCACCCGTGACAAATGCAAGACGGTTCGCCAACATGTCTCTGAAATCACAATTTATATTGATTATAGCCAGTGAACAGAATATTCAATTTTTGTTTCATGGCATTCTTTGCCTTTCAAACAAGAAATGCTTGCGTCATAGAAATATATGTAAATTACAGGGTGAGCCAAAAAAGGTAACCCAAACAAATGTTAATAACTCAGTCAGCAAGCATGAGATTAGTCTATAGTCATATTTGGCACAATTGAAGCTTTTTCAACATAGTCTAATGTTCTTCCTTTCCACCAAGTCTCATCGATCCATTCCAAATGGTTATGGCCATTTTACAAAACATGCTCCAAATGACAATACATCCCAAATTCACCAGATATGAATGAGCAGACTTTAATCTTTGGGGTTATTTTAAACATAATAGGGGGTTTAAGCTTGCATATAAAATCGAAACACCAACCTCTATACTAAGTATGGGCGATTGGTCATATGTATAGGTTTGCCTCTTGAGACGAGACCAGCATTTAGAATATGTATTGTAAAATGACCATAGATTGTGACCATTTGGATTAGACTATTGAAACTTGGTAGAATGAAAGAATATTGAACAAGGTTTAATTGTGACCCTAAATCCATGCTGAATTTGCTGAATGACTAAGTTATTAACATTTGTTTGGGCAACATTTTTTGACTCACCCTGTGGCTATTATCTTTACTAAACTAAACTTTTCAACTGTAAATAGCTTCCCATTGAAATGATAGATTTTGATACAGGTTATGATAAAGGGTCCTTGAAACATTAAAAAATGAAACTGTTATGTTATTTGCATGAATTATACCTTCTTATAACTGTGAACAGTAGTTGAAATAGCTGCACAAAGTGTTCCCTCCTGATGTACAAACTTCAACAATGGGCCATGACCTTTGACATTACACTGGATGAAAACAAATAGTTCATACACCATGATATAGATGTCAGCTAAGACAGACCACCTCTTTATGAACTGACATAGAGTACCATAACATGGCATTATGACATTACTGTATACTAAAACAGACTGTGATTGTCTACCCAGAATATAAATACTATAGAAGCAGTTTATTTTGCTTACTCATGTAACTGACAAAACTTCTTATGATTCTTACTCTTAGTCCTCCTTATGTGTTAAAACCATCATTTACTCCAACCCCTCCCCCCAATACAACTTCACCTACTGTTAAAAATTAGACACAATTCCTTATTAACCCTGAGAATAATATATCAACTGTAGGTCCCTTTAAACTGCATGCGACATACTGTGAATCCTGTGGAGAAGCCCTTAAATATAGCATGTTTCAAATCCAGTGAACAAATTAATTAAAAAAGTTATCCTGTTTTGTTGATGTTGAACATGGCAATGTTTAGGTGGGAAGGCTTTTAACATCCTTGGCCCAAGAGTAATTCATTGCATTACATGATCTGCTATGAAAGCAGTGAAGGACCGATCTTGAAGGGTGGCTATTAAGATCAAGTTAAATCACCCAGCCCTTTATACTGTATGATATCTCATGTTTTATGAGGTTATTAGTGGTGTAAAGACGTTATAAACTCAGGAATCAAATTCAGGGAATTCCAATAAATCAGCACTCCTGGGTCTGCACAATATCATAAACAATAATAGATATGATTTAATATTTTAAGTACATCTTTATTCCAATCATTAATGGATGTTTCATAATTTACAAATTACACATTTTACTTAGTGTGTTTATATTTACAAAATACATAACTTAAAAATAATAGAAAGCTTTACATTGTAAAGCATGATGTCATATATGTTGTACATAATGATGTCATAGAAACCTAACATGATGTCATACTGAGTATACATGTATGTTGTACATACTGACATCATAAAAACCTAAATATTTTTTCAATATTGCGATAGACAAGCACAAAATGGAAAAGCTGTGAAAACTTAAATACACTGATTCAGTTATATATAGTAAATAAATAATCTAAACACTGTCCTTATCCAAATTATTACAAATTAGATTATTGACCAAACATGGAAGATATGTAGACTTCAAAATAATGATGTCATTTATCATGGACCTCGATCAGATATAGGTCCATACATTTATGAATTATTGAACAAATAAAAATAAATACAACAGCAAGAAATACAATCTAATGGCAAGTTTGCTATCTTAACATAAGAATAAGATAAACAAAAAATGAAATAAAAACAAAGAAGAAATCCATTATGGATTAATTAAATGGCATTGCATCCAGTCTTTGGCCCTCTTCCATACTACATTTTTTTTATATACCTTATTTTATAGAGAAATTGGAAGGCATAGGCGTAACGCCTGGTACGCTGGGTACGCACAGGTGTCACAGGCGTACCAGATGGTTGCAAATTCGCTCCAAATACAACCAAATTTCAAAATTTTCCTCAGACCCCCCCCCCTAAACGCTCGTTTTTTGCTTTGCTCAAATCTTGTTCCCGCGGTGGCATACTACTTAGAAATATAGCGCTACGCCCATGGAAGGGTAACATATGGGTTTGATGCATTGTATTGTACTTTGATCATACACATTTGCTTTTAAAAATGAACAAGGGAATTAATACTTTGAAACATAGCTGATTACTACTGTTTCTCTTATCATAGAGTTACTATTCAATTGTTCAAAATAATTGTCATTAAACAGCTTTATAAGCTAATAACTATTGATTGCCTATAAAGACTGTTAGCACTTTTTAGTGTACACTTTGAAACTGAAACTATAAACATAAAAAGTTTGTTCAAATGATGTATTATAAAACTTTTTATCAAAGTGGGCATAAACAAAATCATAGCTTAAACTAGACTACAAAATGTGTTAATAAGAATTTTAAATGACATATAAGCATTATCAAGCCACATTTTATTCACTTATTTTGGTGGAAACCGAAGATTATAGAGAAAATACAATCATAATAGTGCATGGATAACATTTGTCATTTTATATATTATTACCACCTAGCTGGGCCTGTTCTAGGGGTATTAGTGCTAGTTTAGAAGGCATTTATTTTACTATATCGACCCGAGCAATATGTGACGTCATAGTGGCGGGCCAATAATGCAATTTAATGCCCAGCAACTTTCCTGGGAAATTAGATATCATTTAGTGCTTAAGATTTTCTTGCTATTTCAGCCCTGGGCATTAACGGTGGAAATAATACTAATAACGTCATTTCTGCAGGTAATATAGTGAAGTAGTGCCCTTCGAAATGACGTTATTGTACTATTGTCTTAAAGTGCCAAAGAGGCTTCTCCTTTAGGAGACAATGGGAGATATTGATGCGGCTAATTAACTGTGGCATCACAGAGCCACATAGCAGACCAACCAACAAATGAATCAAGTAGTAAGTAGTAGTAAATAATAAACACACTACAGCCCATTTCACTGTTTTATTGCGTCAGTAAAACCTAAAAAATAAGAAATCAAAAGATCATTATGCAATAATATATCGAAAAATATATTCCTATTGTACATAAATGACATTTGTTTATCTTGGATTGCTTCTAGTTTGGCAAATAAAGTGTGTGGCCTCTTATATTTTGATGCTTCTCTGCCATAGTAATTTCAAAAAGATTAACATGGCTGAAATTCTTTAATTTACAAGAGGGCATAGGCTTATAGCACAAAAACTCTATAATCTGAAATATACAAATGTCATTCTATGAATATACTTTTCCATATATAACTGGCACAATTGTCTCCTGATTTCCTATTTTTGGGGTTCTACTGACGCAATAAAACAGTGAAATGGGCTGTGGTCTGTAGCTACTGTGCATGTGACGAACCTCTTATTTACTATTGTATATTCAGCTACTAGGAACTGCTTATAAATGCATAAATATGTGTACATATGTAATATAATGCATACATAATGTACATATAATGTATATGAATCTATATACATGTACATGTATGTGACACATAGTGCATGTAATATTTTATATTGGAAGACTCAACATGAAGCATTATAATATTGATTGTAATATAGCTACAACTACAAAATATACCAGTAACCATGATATAATTTTTCAATTGTTAGATTCCTCACTCGTATAATGAACAATAAAGTAGTTAAGAACAATGACTAGCAAGTTCGTTCATTGTACTCATTAAAAATAACTGTTATTTTTATGGCCATTAACATGTTAATACCTTCAAGTATTGTATTCCACTAGATTCATTTCCACTGCAGACTAATGCAATATTTTCAACACTAGTGTTTTCAAATTGACGGTGCATCATCTAATGTCCCCCATAAAGCACAGATACTAGTTTTCTGCATGAAAAAAATCAAAATTCTGCAAAAAAATCTGCAAGAAAAAAAGCAAATTCTGCAAGGAGAAAATCGAAATTCTGCACAAATTTTCAAAAAAAGTCCAAATTCTGCAATCTTTTAAAACGATGAAAATTGACGTAGCATTAGGAAACGGAAGTCAGCTACTTTCTAGGTAAGAACTGCGCGTCATTAGTGAACTCGCTTTAGCGAATTTAAACGTGATAGAATGTTGAATTTCACGTTGAAATCGTACTTGTACTCAATAATGATTGATTGTTGGACATAAACAGACACTCTTCAAATACCCCGCAAAGGTAGGAGATCGTAAAATATGTAATTTCTGGAAATTCTGGTAATTCCGTGGGATTTTCATGAAAATCAGGGATTCTGCAAAAAATTGAAGTTTTGTCAAATTCCGTCCACGCCGCGGAATTACGGAATACTAGTATCTATGATAAAGTACACAGCTACACTATACAGTAGCAGATTATCTACTGTATTTTCTACTGGTCATCTACTTGCCATTATCATTTCAAATACCGTATGAGTATGGAATTCTCTGGCCGTCAACATTTACATCCTCCTAAGCAGGTGTCCAGAATCCGTACCTCCTTCTTCCCCCCTGCTATAAGCAGTTAGCATTTCCCCGATTAAGAACTCACAATTTGATTCGCTGTCGCAACACTGCGACAGCAATCATGTATACGTCATCGGCGCATAATTAGATAATGTGATTCAGTATAATCGGGCGCTTCCAACTTGGTTATAACAGGGGGTAAAAAGAAAGAAGATATTCTGGATTTTGAAGCCCTGTGATCGGAGGATGCAACATTTATAAATGTGTGTTGTTCACTGGACAAGTTGAAGTCAAACTAGGCAAGTCAATTTGTGAGTTATTTAGAGATTCATCCAACATCACCTCCATGGATTCAACTATTTTCATACCCCTATCTATAGTACTAAAGTCTGGGTTTGAATTCAGTTGGCGTTCAGGAGTAGACCTCAGACTATTTGAATTGTCTATTCTGATAACATTGTGATTTAAAGCTGGACTGTTTGATCCACTATGAGTGTTCAGTGGAATACTGCTCACTGGGTTAGCAGTCCTCGGTTTATGCACTTCTGCTATTTCAATGTTTGTACTGGCACTTGACGCTAATATGGCATCTGGGTGACTATGAGAGAGTTGGCGACTATCAGTCACGTGCGATTCATTATGAGTATTTGGCTGTTCTGATTGAACAAGAGTATTTTGTACTGAATTGTTGAGAGTATTTGGCCGCTCTGAGGTAGATTGTCGAGACTGATCTGACGATGTTTCTGAATCCATGATTTCTACTGATCCAAATGTCACTGTGCTTCCTGATCGCTGATGCATGTAAACTCCTGATGTGGAAGGTTGCACACTTTCAACATTTTGTAACCCTGAAGTGGAGGGTTGCACATTGTCGATATTTTGTAACCCTGATGTGGAGGGTTGAATATTGTCGATATTTTGTAACCCTGATGTGGAGGGTACACTGTCAGCATTTGGCTGCATCGATATAGGCAATCCAGGTCTGGATAAAGTCCCTGCAGTGGAGCGATAAGTAGGTGGTCGGGACTGTGGGTACTCTCCAGAACTATCTGGGAAAGTGATATGTAAACCTGGTCGTGCGACACTGACTTGGGACCTATATGAAGGGGGAGGTGAGGTGGGTAGACCCTCCATGCAGGGTCCCTCACCAGATTGCTGTTCGTCCACTCTTTGCTGCTGGCGGATTTGTGCCAAAAGTTGTTGATTCTGATAATCCTGCATGGAAGCTGCATATGATGGTGGAGGTCTGCGGAATCGGAACTCAGGATATATGGTTCCTGAAATATATATTAATTAAATAATTTATATAAAGTTTTATAGTTTTTTTTAAACTGGGTATCTTATTGGCAAGAAATTTTTTTTATCTTGTGTCAAGTTTCAAAACACCCCCCCCCCCAACACTCCTGACTTATTTTGTGTTCTCGAGAAAATGAGTTGACCCAGGGGATTGATGCATGGCTAGTAAAATGCTAATAAGGATTACATGAACGTCATGCACTTTTAAGTGCACCGATTCAATTTTTTACATATGAAGAGGAAAGCAGAAAGTACATGTACACATACTTTTAACTTACTGTGACTATTGAATGTCATAAACAGGTTCAACACTTTATTTTCTATACAAACAAATTAATAGTAATGTGTATAGTATTTACAAGCTCAAGACATACGTTAATCAAAGTCTAAGTTATGCTAAAGGAAACCTCAGTCAAGTATATGTTGTAATACAAATTCATCATACAATTCATTTTTTTGTATTCTGAAACTAAATATTGAAAAACCTATATAAAAGTAATAAATGTCTTCAGCACCTGTGTCTCGAGTTCATATTACATGTGTTGTTTTTTGTCATTTGCAACTATATGAGATAAGAAAAAGTGTAAAATGTCAGATATAAGCATTTCAAACCCATATATAAATCATGGGATAACCATTAAATAAAGTAATAACTTGGACATTGAACAGAATATTCTGGCGAAAAACTAAAAAATTGAGATAAATTTTTGAATGTCATTTTTAAGAATGCCTTTCTGCTTATTGGTATCTCAATATAAAAGGTGAATGTTAAAGTAGTTCTGACGAGTAAAATGAAGATTTTGTTTGAGATACCAATACTGCATTCATTTATCTATAGTATGATATAACTCAAAACTTATTTGAAAATATTATTGATTCTGGAGATAATAACAAGTATGAATTTCCCTTTTGAGCAGGTGTAATCGAACAGTATGCATCTGTTAGTACTGAATTGCAGGTATTACATGTGAATATCAAATTATATCAAACATTATTAAACAATAAATGACTGATTATAATACAGATGGCACACACATTATATCACAGTATAATTATAATAAACACATTTCCCATCATTGAACTTTATAGTTAAAAACTTAAAAGTCAGTATCCAACATAAATTGTATAAAATTACAAATGGTATATCTACATTGACTGTTAATTAACTAGCTGATAATTGATGTCAAGGTATCCTCTGAAATCATCATTTTTTATTTCCATTCATTTTATTTATTACATAGGTGGATGGATGATCTAAAAATGTAGATATTCTAAATTATCCTACACTTAGTGTGCTAAATGTATAACATCAAAAAATAAATTTGATATTTATTGGCAAAATGAATAACCGGAGGATATCGTGATGACATACTCCGGGCGGAGGATATCGTGACGATATACTCTGGAAAACCCAATATGCGGAGGATATTGTGACGATATACTCCGCTTGTTGATTTCCCTACAAATTGACTCTATTTGGCATGAAATTCATTTTGCAATGATATTATACATTAAGTGCACTCCTTGTAAGTGTAGGATAATAAGAACATCCAATGATTTTTTTTTTTTAATCTACTCGTTGATATTGATATATGCACTCGTTCGCTTTGCTCTCTCGTGCAGATATCAATATCACCTCGTAGATAAAAATGATATTCCTCAAAATCATAGGATATCCTATAAATAGTATGAGTATCTGTATTCCTTACCTGCATACCACTGGTTCCTATCTCGTGGGTGCCTGATCCGCTCTATTGCAATATCACGTGTAGAGTGTTCCCCCAGGTTAAACAGCAGGTGGCAAGGTTCATGTCCCAGGGGGGTGCACTTCCAGCCTACCCCTACTACTATAACTAGCATCACCCCCAGTCCTAAAACACACAAAAAGTACATATTTCAATCAATACATTCATTTATGTTCTGAATCTTACACCAAGGCCCCTAATTAAACTCAGAGTCAAGTAGAAGTTTTTTTTACCCGATATTAAATTAAGTTTATTTTTCTATTCATAATCTAATACAAAATAAATAATTACAACATGACATGGGAGTCTAATTTTGACATGTGACCGACAGAGTAGGAGTAGCACTTATGATGCTGTTTCCATCAAAGTAGAGATATCAATATCAAACTTTGATGATATCAAAAAGTGCAAACACATGATAGACTCATGGTTTATCATGATGGTCTTTTACAATCAAAGGATATTCTACACAATTATTCCTTCAGTTCTGATATTCAGAACTTGACCAGTTTAATCATTTAATTTATTTTATCACCACCTTGCGAGGCTGCCTGTTCTCAGAGTATAGGTAGAGCCATATTCCAAGGCCATATTGGTCATACTCTGCCCTGGTCCAGGGTGAATAACTAGTTAGTACTTAGTTTTCAATAGGGCCAAGATTTCACTATGTTGTTGCCCTTTAAAATGAGGTTATTGGTATTTTGGCAAAAGTCTATTGAAATGATAACTTTAGAGCAATTATCTGGCATTAGCCAAAATGCCTCTGCAAATGAACTTTAAAGGGATAATAACCTCAAGTAAAAACTATGATTCATCAGAATAATAAGTCTATAATCAAAAACATGACCCGGGTATGAGCGACGATCTTCTTATGCATCGGCAGATATATTGGAATTAATTTTGAGGTATTGGTTCTTCACCTGGATTATGGAGGTCGCCATAACCTACCTATAAATATTCATGAGCGGCGTCACTGCGACTCGACAAATTCCAGCATTTTGATTGGCCCGAAAAATGCGCATGCGCAATTGTAGCGAGGCGGCCACATTGAAAAATATTACGAACTTCTTAACAAGAAAATGGAGCAATTTGAAGATTTTGACGATGTATATTGACATACTATAATATGATATCACCTGTTCGAGAAAAACATGACCATGTTCACATCAATACTTACAATTCATAGAATTAACTCCAAAAGTGCCAATCAAAACCAAAAACTGACCAACTCGTGAACGTTGGTTACCGACATGACAGGGAAATGCGTTAATTTTATGTTGACAATCAATTATCTCTCGATCGTTTTGCTTGAAGATTAAACATATTCGGATCTTTTATTTAATAAAATGACGAATGGCAGATATTAATTAGATTTTTGACACTCTAAATATAAGGCAGAACTGATAATGTATTCCCCGTCATGAATGATCGCGATCGATGACGCAAGGTTCGTCATTTCGATCACCATGGAGGTGTATTTTTGTTGTATTTACAGTAGACAACAAACAATTTAAAGGCTCGTAGACCTACTATGTTATATTTATTTCACAAATATGGTATTAAGTTATAAAGCTATTAAAGACATACGATACGATACGATACAATTCAAAAAGTTTTTTCAAAATGGCGTCGACCTAACCGGCACATGGCCTGGTTCAGTTCTCTTTTTTGGGACCGGATTGCTCGCCTTGAATCCGTTTTCTTTGGTTTCTTGTGAGAGAATATGTATGGTATGGCAACTGCCCGAACGACAGTGAGATTCCATTGTCGATAACGACAGTGTTATTTCTGTTGCCGATAGCAAACTGTCGTGGGTAAACCCGGAAGTAAAATTGTGTTCAATCTACGCCGTTTGAGGAGAAAATCAGCTAAAACAACTTGCCCCGCGTGTCTAGAACCATCATCACTGTAGCGTCTATATAATCAATACTTACTTGAAATATCCTGACATAAACTGAACTAAATAAACCACTCTAACTTCAGTTGTTATTCATTTTTATTCACCAATCTATTTTGAAGAGCGATTTCAGCATTTGAGGCAATCTGCGCCAGTTCCTCTTGATTCGGAATCTAGTTCATGCGCATTAGAATGAATAATTTGATTGGCTTAATTCCAAAAACACATGCGCACTTGTAAATTATTTCAAACTACTAGGCATGCGTGAAGAGTTGAAGCAAAAACGAAACTGCTGCAGATTACCCTACTTATTCGATGGCGGAATTAGAAAATTCTTTATTCAAAATGTTTTCCCGTATTGGGGAGAAAAAACACAACCCCAGGATAGATATAGGACGACAAACAAGACAATAATAAGTAGGAATCTTTGATTGGTAAAAGTCGTGCATGAAACTTTTCAGAAACTATAGTAAGTGACACTGTTTTAAATGTGTTCTATTCCCCGGGGATTCGGTCCACGACAACGACAGCTGGTTCGAACTGTCGACAGATTTTAATTCTACCGTCACCAGCCGACTGTCGTACTGTCGTTCAGGCATTTCTTTTAAAGTCCTTATCCCAAGTCTAGCTCTATCAGTGGAAATATTTGAACAATTTACCGCACAACACATAGGCATTTTTCCTTTGTTGTGAATGCTTTCAAGATGGCGACTCAGGTCGCAGAAACGTCACACTTCCGGTCTACATCCGGGTCTCTGAGGGAAATATGGCGAGCCCCGTCCAACAGACAACTGGGTCACTGGGTCAATTTATGATTTTTATTTTCAATATTATACAAAAACTAACACATAACAAGATTTTCAACTTATTGCATTTTATTCAGTAGTATTGTAACTACATATAATGATGATTAGAATACCTGACATTATTTCCGCTTTAAGGTATTTGAGCCAAGTTTTATTATTAACCAAACAAATTAAATATTATATCAGGATAGCCAAATGAATTCTCTGTCCTGGTACACAAGTTTAACTTGGGTCACCTAGAGTTCCTACAATTCTTACTTTATGTCTTAAAGTGCCAAAATCAGGCCAGATCTGGTTATTTAACCTCATTATGTCCAGGTAGAGTTCCAGGTGATAATGACCCTGTAATGTCTGGTTGTGACAACCAATATCACAAGCAATAATCCCTAAGAGCTGTACATAACACACTGAAGCAACAACAAACTGGACACTAGGCAAATGATCATGAAACTGAGCTCTCGTTGCCTTCATTTGGAAATACATGTAGACAAACCAAGATGGCAAATAACTATACATGTAATCTGATTTTCATTGCAGAATGAGTAGGGGGATGTTCTACATGTAGGGAGAATGAGAGATGATATGTTGGAACAAGTTTCATGTTCCCCACTAGTAATTCATCTGCATCCTTTTAAGTGCCTGACTTTTTATCTTTAAAAGAGAGCTTCATGTATTTTATTTCATTAAGAGATCCTTTGATCAAGCCAAATCACCAACTGGTATATATCATGGCACATTGTTTGTTGATAAATATAGAATATGGAATATAATAAAGCTCTTTAGTAAAAAATGATGGCATTATCTTACAAGTAAGGGACTGTGCTTTAAGGTAATTCTGGAGGGCGATATTGAGGTTAGAACAAACCAAGGCCTCATACATAATAGCTTACCAGTTTGATTTATGAAAAGCAAATATATTTACATTGGAAAAGCAAGATGGGCTTCATAAAGCATGATAAAGAAACAATAGATAAGAATGCTGTAACGGACACTGAAACCCATCATAATGAACAAAACCAATATCATCAATATTTTCCAGTAGCTGGTGAAACAGAAACATGTAATGAGTATCAGAATGATTGAAACCTGGCAGAGGTGTTAACACATGGCTCAATAGTGTTGAAAACCTCCCTGACTAAAACATTTGCTCTAAAAAATCAAACAATATGGGGTGTCCATAAAGTATCTTTACACTTTGTACTTTATATTATTATATTGATCATAAAGATACTTTATGGAAACCTTGTATTCCCTCTCCCTCCCGTACAGACTCTCAAAATGATGAATTGTTTGTTTTAGTTTATGCAGTTTTCATTATAAGATGTAAACATATGCACCGTGTCTTGGTGTTTTCTCTATAATACAGATTTTGATACAGGCACAAACATCATGATAAACCATGACATCTCATTTCTTTTCAGCCATATTTCTAATGAACAAGAAAGATGAGAATTGGAATGAGTTTCACTGTATAATGTAGAAGCAGCATCCATAAGCCATTTATTAGCTATTATTGAGGCACTATCAGACTGAGCTCTACTAAAAGCATGTCCTAATATGTAACACACTGCACAGAGTACTGTAGCGTTCCTAATCAAATGTGAACCAAGGCCAATCCTCGCTTACAATAAATTAAACATTTATTTATCAGAAAGGGATTTATGTTAAATGAAAACAGTTAGAATGTCATTTGTATTTAGATTTGGGTCTAATTCCTGGAAGGTTATTTTCTCATTGTGCATTATTTCTGAAAAGTAATTCCAGTTGAAGATTTTATGATTATGGAATCGTCTTTATAGCTACGAATGTAAAAAATGAAACATCAATATGGTGGCTGACTATATACATTGTAACATGCAAAAATGAGAAAATGCTTGGCAAAATGTCCTTGCACTCACATGCAATGTGTACATTGAAAAAAAGCGTTTTTCATGTCAAGCAGAGAACTGTGAGTTCTGTTTTAACGTTTATTTCCATCATGATAAACCATGACATCTCTTTGATTTCTCTCTACCCATGAGATATTTTAAGTGAAACAGAAATATGAGATGAGTTACGGAATGATTTTCTCAACAATATCAACTTTAATGCTGAAAAATGAAATAATTTTGTCTGACATATGGGACAACTGGATGCCTCAAATATGTAACCATTAATCAAATGAAATGTTTCAATAAGCTGAATGTGACAGTTCCCTCTCAATTATACTAAATTAACGAACCATGAAATATCATTTGAGACATGGACTCCTAAGCAGCCATAATCCAATATCAGTCTATAAAAATATTTTCTTGGAAATAATTAAACAGTGCAGTGATAACACAAGCTAGTATACATCAAGCATACACATCAACTATGTTGTATCCGCTTTGGGATACGAGATGTAATAGAGGTATCTTCAAAGATCAAAAGTATTATTTTTC